GTGGACTTTTACTCACACCGAATTTCGTTTCGCCACTACAAAATCTAAAGGAAGTACCATTTCTTTTTCTTTTACATTATGTGGGAGTTTGTATGTACTTTTCTTGTTTGTCTTTGTATGTTTAATGCATTAAGGACAATGTATCTTTTAGGTGTGGGGGAGGAATTTGTGTTTCTTTGAGAATTGTCAATAGTCTATGATGAATTAAATTTTGAGAGTCACATATGACTGTAAAAATACATGTTCATGATCACTCTTAAGAATGTTAGAAACTCATGACCACATCTTTATGCACAACATTCCACTTGACAATGTGTTTGCTTTGGGCTTAAACTTTTAAAATCTTGAATGCATTAATGCATTATTGTGATCTTATACTGGAATCCACTTGTCTGAAACCTGGGGGGACTGTGAATCTGGGAGTGAGACTAAGGCAACCCTACGCATTATGGCAGCCTCGAATCGAGCCCATAGTGGTTTGTATTAGCCTAAATACCTTGGGAAAAAGGGCAAAGTTGGCGGTTGAATATGAGGTTAAGTGCTTTATCTAATGAGGGAGTATAGGCAGAGTGTCCAATGTGGCATTTAATCCCTTGAGAGGTGAGGTATGGCACCAAAGAGAGGAGTGTCCTCAGGCCTGGTGAGTTTAAATTGAAAATGCTTAGATTACCATAGTTGCTGAAATATATGTTTGGTATAGGCCTGAGTGGGAAAGATCCAGAAGAAAAGCCAATTTGGACAAATGGATGAAAAGGTACGAGGGTGGAAGATGCAGCCAATGATGCTTGCAGAAAATGAGAGGAAGCCCTTAGATCGGAACCTCAGTAAGAATACCCTAGTTGAAGGCAAGGAAATAGGTACTGATCACAAGAATGTTCACTTGAAAGTAATTGAATCTAAGCTTAGGTTAAGCAACACTTTGTTTTGTGGTCTGTTTCACACACTCATGGAAGTGAGTTTTTGACTTGATCAAGGGATACTGAACCGTGGTATACATTATTTGTCTCTAATGAGACTAGAATCTGAGACAACTTTTGACAATTTTCTTTGATGTTTTTGCATGTTAGAGTCAGTAGGAAAGGATATTATCATGTTTACTTTGAGTTGCTTGTGTTTGCTTGAGGACAAGCAAAAATCTAAGTGTGGGGGATTTTGATAGGTCTTGAAGTTTCATGTTATTTATGGGTATTTGTATAACATTTTGGATTAGATTTTGCACTTATGTTGTGTATTTTGATGTTTTTGATTTTTAGGAGTGATTGGAGCTGAGATGGAGAAAAATGTTTCATAAACACACATTTTTGGAGCATTTTGACAAGGAAGCACAAAAAGGGAGCAATGACATCACATTCTCCTGTGGGCACACGAATCTCAGTCCAAAATTGAGCTTTAGAGAAGAAATTCCAGCATTGATGCTGCATTCCCGTTTGGCCAAACCGAAATAGGGACTAAAATAAAAAATTAAAAAAGTTTTGGGGTCAAAATATAATTTTGCCAAAATTGAGGGACCAATTTGCAAATCTCGGAAAAGTTAATTTGCTGCTGCGGATTTCTGAAGGGCTGCTGCGGCTGACCTACTTGTTCCCATATAAATTGATTTTATTCTTTTCTTTTGGAGGGGGGTTGAACGTGAGAAGAAGAAGAGGAGGCTGGAGTTGTCTTAAGCCGCCAATCTAGCCCTTTTGAGCATTATTCTTCCCCATTCTCTATTGTTTTGTTTCAGTAAGGCTTTATTATGTGTAACTAAATTACTTTTCCAGTTGAAAGATATTGAAACCTTGGTTCTTAATAGTTGTGAGATCTAAATATTTTTCATTTCTCAATTCTTTGTAAGTATTTGCTTGTTCTTTTGAATGATTGATATAAAGATTTTGGATTCATGAATAGCTGGTAGCATTCATTATTTCATGATAGTTAACAATCAATAAGGCAGCAAGGTTTGTTGTTTTAAAAGGGACTGATATAATTATATTACTTGGTAAGTGATTTTGTTATGTTATAAGAACAAGTAATCTGGTTTTTTATTAAACAAGGTTTGTTTCATAGGAATCAGAATTGGGTCTTTGTACTTAATGCAGTCGTTTTCTTAATCTTAGGAGGTTCCAAGATTGAATTTTGACTAGTGTGTTTAATGAAGGTTTTCTTAATCACTAAACTTAGTTCAAGATTGAGTTGTTAGGAGGTTCCAATAATGAAAACTAATTTGCCTATAAGTGATTGAGCATATCATTGCATCTATGATCAATTGTCTAGACCAAGGTGGATATAAAATCTTTTGACTAGAAACTTTCTCATAATTTGCTTTCATTTTTTTTTTCAACTATCATTTGAATTTTATTTTAACTACATTTTAGTTTTAAAAACTCAAAACCCCCCTTTCGGTTACTTATTTGAAAGAAACGAATTCACCATTCCCTGAGGAGACGACCTTGCTTTCCTATGCTACTAGTTTGAAAGTAGGTTAAATTGTTTATTGGCTTGACACCCCACCAGGTCTTCTTTGCATGGTCAGGATCCTCTCGATTGCCCCTGTTGTTTTTGCGACCGCCCCACCACTTGTTTCTCCTGTCTGTGCGATTGAGCGATCGCTGTTGCGGCTTTTCGTCTTTTTGCTTCTTTGCCAGCTCACGCTTCAGCTCGCGGTAGTCCTCGGTGGTGTGCCTGGCACGTTGGTGGTAATCACACCACCCATCAGTGGACCCGCCCTTGGTAGCCGGGTCAGGATCCCCCTTTTGGACTTGGAATACCTCGCGGCATGACTTGTTTTGCGAAAGGTATCGGTCCAGGCGGGAAGAGCGGTCTTGATCCCGTGGCTTACCTTGGTCGCGATTCCTAAAGGAAGTGAGAACGTCTTTGCCCTCAAACATCTCCTTTGCGTGACGAGTGGATTCCTCAGCGCGGACTTCCTTTTCCAACAGGCCCCACAGCGCTTGGCTAGTCGGAGGAAAATCCTTGCCAAGGTCTCGCTTGAATGATGTTGTCGGACCAAAGGGGTTGAGACCGTTTATGAAAGTCTGGCGCATCACGAGATCGTCCACTTGGTCTATGAGCAGAACTTCCTTGGTGTAGTGGGCATAATAATCAGTCAAGGACTCATTGCGACCCTGCCACATCAGGCCAAGATCATTCATTGTCTTTACCACTGTTTTAAACTGAAAAAAAGCGAGTGTGCAGCTTCTCGCTAAAGTCTGTATATGAAGAAATGCTGTCGGGGGGTAACGAGTCAAACCAAGACTTAGCAGCGCCAGTGAGGATCGTAGGTAATACCTTCGCTATGTAGTCGTGGTTTGCATTACGCAGCCGTATTATGGCACTGGTGTAGTCTGCCAGGAAAGAGAGAGGACAAGAGTCGCCGGCATACTTCTTAATGTCGTTCGGCATTTTAAACCCGTCAGGCCTTTCGGCGCCCATGATGTGAGAGCACAGAGGGCCTGAGTTCAAAGTAACAGAGAGAATGATAGCTAGGCACGGATCAGATGGGACCAAGCCCAGGGTCTCTGGCACGCGAGCCCCGAGGCGATCGCTAATCGTCACCCGGGGTCCCAACCTGTCAGTCACCATTGTGCAAGGTCCGAGGCGATCGTGGGCTGGAATGCGGGTCATATTGCGATCGACCAGGTCAGTGGTAGCCTTGCCCGTGCGTAGGTATTGTATGCTTCGGTCTGGATCTTCCTCGCGATCATGCGGCTCCCCACGATCCCGCGGTTCTTCGCGATCACGCGGCTCCTCTCGCTGCGACTCCAGGACTGCCTTGAATTGTTCCAACACCACTGGGTGCGACTTCGCAAACTCCCACCATTGACCGTCGAGAGCAGTTTTGCGGGGACTGCTCCGGCGGCCCGTGGACTGATGGGAACTCTCTTGGGAGACTTCGAGTTCTTTCTACAGATTTCACCCCTTGTAGGCTTCTGCAATCTGCTTACCAGTGCGACCGCGCCTGGCATCTTGCTTGGTCGCAACCGTTCATTTTGGCGATGCCGGATCTGGGGGCAACGGCCCCCAGGCTCATCTGGTCTCTGCCGTGTGGATACCATTGGGCTCAGGTGCACTTATCAGAGAAAAGGAAAGATTGGATGTGAAATCCAAGAAGAAGAGACGAGCTTTGTGTGCTGTAGCGCCGTCCCCACAGTCGGCGCCACTTGATGGTGCGCTCCCGATTAAACCCACGCGGCAGCACTGGAATAAACCCTAAACCCTGCAAAACAGAGTTAGCACTCCGATGCTAAAGTTAGGACTCTTCTTAGTGAGAGAAAGAGAGCTAAATAAATGCAATATAGCGAGAGAATAACATATGGAATTAATGCTTGGGATATCTCTTTTTATAGACCCAAGGGAGGGAATATAAGAATATTCCCTTGCACATGGGTGGAAATGGGTCTAAGTGGATATTACTTGATACTTGTGCCTGTGTAGGCAAAGCCCAATGAAGCAAGGACTTGGATGCCCATCAGTACCCCACTTTAATATTTTGATTATATACATATATATATATATATATTATTTATGTATCGCATTTTCCTTTATTCAAAATCTTAATAATTAATAGTATTTTCCAAAATTTATACATATGCGACACACATTTTTATATTTAAAAAAAAAACTTAAAAAAAAAAAAAGATAACATAGCCCGCACATCGTGCGGCTTTAACATTTAGTACTTTAGATATTATGATATAACTTATAAGATTTATATAGAAAGAAAGAAATTTATGTTGTAGACTAAGATCATGAAGAAGTAGGAGGAAGAAAGTAAGTTTCCATGTAATTTTCACTTTGTAAACTTGCATATATATAGGAAAATTTTGGCAGATAATTGGACTCAATTTTCCTTCTTCACATTTAATGTAACTACTCTGGTGGATGAATGTTTTTTACTCTTTTTGGCATTCATTTATTTACAACACCTATTGGTTATCATGCGTTATACATCTACAATTTGATTAGTATGGGTTCATTATAATTCAACGAAGTAGATTGGGTTTTGGGAGGGAGGGCTACCAAAAAGTCAAAACTTTTTTGCCGGCCAGAATATTCCATTAGTTAGTGTTGACTGTTGACTTCAATCTATTGATTAAAGACTTTTTCTTTTGCAAAAATTTTTCATTTTGTTGTACGCTGTCCTCCAATTTCTTCACCATCTCGTTCCTCATCTTCGAGCCTCCAAAGTCAACTTAGTTACAGAATGTGGTTCAAAGGCCTTAATTTGCTGATCTCTAAGACCCGTTTGCTCAATTTTACGAATTGAAGTTAGCCTTGCTAGTTGGATATTTCGAATTTCCGCATACAGGTACGGATCTGTACATTCTTTCTGGGCTTGTATTTAAAGCAGTTTTTTACATTCTTTTCATTTTTTGTTTTTTTTGGTAAATTATACTATGTTATTAAGAGAGTTTGAATTCAGCATGAAGATCGAAATACGTATTGATTATACATACTGTTTTGACAAGATCCAATATGTTTTGTTTTCTGGGCTTATAGATATTTTTTAGAACCGTGATCAAGAATGTCCTCGATGACATATGACTGATGAATGAAAACTTTGTTATTTTCTGCTTGTGAGTTTGTTGATTGATTAATCACTGATCAAAGAATTATGAGTCAATTAACAATTTGACCATTAATTCTTATGCATAATCCCATTTATGGTAGGATAGTTCGGCTTCTTCGCATGATTTTTTTTTTTTTCCAAGTCTTCAAGGTTCTGAAAGTAACATTGACATACTCGTATAATCATTTTCTGCTGGGAAAAAGAGATAAAGGATGAGCGCGGGCGTTGTTTCTTCCGTGTTAAATCAGATCGCAACTTTGGTTGTCGCTGAGGCAAACTTGTTAGGAGGGCTTCAACAAGAGATCCAGGGCGTTGTTGATGAACTTGAGCATATGAAAGCTTTCTTAATGTTTGCAGAAGACAGAGAAGAAGAGGATCCTAGTCTACAAGTATGGATTTCACAAGTGCGGGATGTTGCTTATGATATTGAAGATGTTGTGGGTGAATTTCTGTGGCGTTTCAATCATAATTATGGTCATGGTTTTAATGGACATGTTCACAAGATCTTCGTGTTAATGAAGAATTTGCGAGCACGCCGTCGAATTGCTCAAGAGATACAACTCATCAAGTCAAGAATTACAAGTATCTCTGCGAGTCATGAGAGATACCAATCGAAATATGATATCTCTAACCAAGCCTCGACTTCTTCTTTATTGGACAGGAACAACTCATGGAACTATTACAGGGATGCAGCCCTTTTTGTAGAAGCAGAAAAGCTGGTAGGTATCGATCGCCCGAAGCAGCAACTCATTTATCAACTCCTTGATGGTGATTCTCAATTTAAAGTTGTTTCAGTTCTTGGTATGGGAGGGATCGGGAAAACTACATTGGTGAAAAAAGTCCATGAAGATGTGGAAATCAAAAAAGCATTCCAAATCCTTGCCTGGGTGACCGTCTCCGAAACCTGGGATACAATGGAAGTGCTCAAGGACTTGATCAAACAGTTATACAAGGAGATTAAAATATCAGTACAAGCTGGATTGGACTCATCAGTTACAAGCACCCGGGAACTGAAAGCGCATGTGAAAGAATTTCTCAAGGGGAAAAGATATCTCATCGTATTTGATGACGTATGGGATTCACAATTCTGGGAAAGTTTCAAATTTGTGTTGCCTGAAGGTAGCTGCGGCAATCGTGTGATCCTCACAACGCGAAATGCAAATGTAGGTAACGCCTCTAGTGGTGAATTTCAATGCCATGTCCACGAAATGGAGGTATTATCTTTGGCAGATTCTTGGACTCTCTTTTGCAAGAAAACCTTCAAAGGTGATTGTTGTCCAACCCATCTGGAAAGTATTGCTGAAAGAATACTTAAAAAGTGTGGAGGATTACCACTGGCAATAGTCGCAATTGGAGGATTGTTGGCTTCAAAGGACAAAAGCAAAATAAACGAGTGGGAGATGGTTGAACGAAATCTTGATGATGAACTAGGGGTAAGTGGCAATTTGAATCCAGTTACAAAAATACTGTCGCTTAGTTACATTGGGCTTCCGCACCATCTAAAAACTTGTTTATTATATGCAAGTATTTTTCCAGAGGATTACAGAATAGCCAAAAGGAGATTGATTCGATTATGGATTGCGGAAGGACTTGTGCTAGAGAAAGCGGGGATGAGTAACTACGAGATAGCTCAAGCTTATCTTGATGAGCTTACAAATAGAAGTTTAATTCAGGTGGCTCAGTCTCACCCATGTTTTAGGTTATATCATATTCATGACATTCTACGAGAAATTGTTCTTTCGAAATCAAGTAGACAAAACTTTGCAACCATAGTCACAGAAGCACAAAATAAGTTCTCTGCGAAGGTTAGGCGCTTGGCGATCCATGATTTGAAATCCAATACCAAGTCCTACATGCGTTTCAAGTGTCTGCGATCTTTGGTAATATTCAATGCCGACAAACCCTTGCCAAAATACTTATCTGGGCTGTTAGCTGGTGGTTCAAAGCTATTGAAAGTATTAGATTTGGAAGGCACACAATTAGATGAGATCCCAGAAGAAGTTTTCAAGTTACTTCATCTCAAAACTCTAAATCTTAGTCGCACAAGGGTACGGGTCATTTCCAAGTCCATTGGGTCTCTTAAGAATCTGGAATACTTGGACCTACGGTACACGGAAGTGAGTGAGTTACCGGAGGAAATATTAAACCTTGAAGGTCTTGTTCATCTTACAGCTAACAATCATAGTGCCCAAAATTCGTATTTTTTTGGTGGATTCAGAGGTCCAAATATTACTTCGAAACTTATCTCTCTAGAGTGGTTATATGACGTTAAAGCCAATGAAATATTAATTAAGGAGATTGGAGACCTTAAGCAATTGAGGAGGCTTGGCATTGCTAGCCTAAGAAGAGAACATGGAAAACAACTCTGCTCCTCTCTAGGAAAACTCTTCAATCTCGAGCATTTGTATCTTTATACTGTAAAGGATGATGAGGTACTTGATTTGGAAGATTTGAATGGTTCATTGTGTTCAAATCTTTGTAGCTTGCACGTGTTACGTTTGTGGGGGCGCTTGGGAAAGGTGCCGGAAGTATTTTCTTCACTACATGAGTTGACCTTAGTGCATTTGCGTTGGAGCGGAATCATGGACAATCCACTCGAATCGCTTCAATACTTACCAAATCTGCTATTACTTATGTTGGAAGAAGCTTTTGAAGGGGAAAGCTTGTGTTTCAAAGCTGGATGTTTCTTGAAACTTGGGAGGTTAGGCCTTTACAATGTACAGAATTTGAGATGGTTGAGAATGGAGGAAGGTGCTATGCCTAACCTTAGAGAGCTGGAGTTGAGATCTGTTAAGTTACTAGAGGAATTCCCTTGGGAGGTCCAACACTTGACCAAACTTGAAGTTCTATATTTGGAAGATATCAGCCAGACAGCAATTGACCAACTACACAATCATGATCAAGGAAGTGGAGAGTGCAACAAAATTAGCCACATCCACAAGATTTTGACTTTGGAGACAAGGGATGGAAGGCGCAATCCAAGATCCGGAAAGCAATTGACCAGCTACACAATCAGGATGGTAAGCAACACCTTAATAAGTAAATCCTTTTCTCTATGCTTTTCCTGTTTCTTCCTGTATTTTCTTAACTTAATTTGTGACTTCTTTTTACTTTAGCAAGAGCAGCAGGTGGCTGATGAGCCCAGCATTTTTGTGTGTAAGCATTGAACCACTGAAAGTCACATGCCAAAAAAGCTCAATAAAAATATAAAATTCCTTGATGGCCTTATGATAAACAGCACCGGCAGAAGTTTGCTTCAAGTTTCATTTTTCATTTTTCCCTTGTTTAAAATGAAGAATTTTCCAATAAACACGCCATCTTAATTTGGATTTAACTTTCCAATTCACTTTTTCCCATTGTAATATTTTCCTTACTGTAATGAAGAATTTGTGACCATCGGCGGTTTTATTCTTCTTTTCTTTTGTAAAAACCTACTCCTGTCGGGCCACATTTGCAAGTCGAAAAATCCTAAATGGAAAGTGATCCATGTTTCTCCAACTTAAAGGTACACTAAATATTTTTACCACTAAACCACTTTTCCCATCACTCTAGAGGAGTCACACTTTTATGTAAAGGGACATGATTTTTGTCTTCTGCAATTCAGATGAGAAAGAAAAGTTTATCCTGGAATTGGGGCTTATCGAGGTTCGCCTTCTCGTGGCATAATTGGTGTATATTGGTTCAATTGGAAAACTCCAATTCAAATGAATGTTAGTGAGAATTCTCTGTCCAGGCCAAACACTTGGTGGCTGTTCCTGCAAATCGCATCAATAAATGGCATAGTGTGAAACAATGTTGGCTAGTTTGATTTCTGACGCATTTTGAAAGTGATTTTGGTTTATTCATTACATAAATCAATGTCTTCAAAACTCCTCGATCACCTTGTACATGATGCATTTGTTATCTGATATAAAAGATGGACTTGTCTCTTCTCTTATTTTATAGTTCGAACAACATAAACCATCCACTCAAGAGTTCTTAGAACTGATATTTTATGATAAATTGAGCTATTTATTACCTACATATTTCCCTTCAATTGTTTGGAGTAGCGATCTCAGGCTGTCTTGCAATACCATCCGTGGGCAAATATATTCGATCGAATAACGAATTCTTATTCAATCTAAGAAAATTCCAAACTTAGAGAGAAAGAGAAAACCTCGTCACAAAAAAGGAATTTAGAGAGTGTATAAGTAGTAAATTGTACTACTATCGATTGCATTTTTCGTACCTTTGATTGTGGTGTAGTGACCTTATTTATAGGCCATGAATTACCTATTCCGTGTTCGAATCATATTAGGTTTTACACCTTTTTAACCAACTCCATAAGTCGGTTGGACTGGATTAGACTAATCTGCCGGGTAAAACCGGATGCTGCGGATTTGGACTCTTCAGTATATTTATGTGAAATAGGCGGGATCACCAGCTAAGTCAACTTCACGCTTGGCGTTCGGTAGAAGTAGCCAGGTTCATTGGATGACATTTAAAAAAAAAAACAAAAAAAAAGTAATTAAGAAAAAAGGTTACCAAAGCAGAAAGTTACAAGAGAAATAAAAGAGAATGTTTGTGAAACTAATCCACAAGGCTTTACAACTCTTTCAACTAATGCATCAATAGACACACTAATCTCATCTTGCTCTTTGAAACAGTTTCTAGTGTGTTTAATATTCTGCAATCGTAGCGCGTATTAATGTCGCTAGTTGATTCTTTTTCCCTTCCCTATTGAGACCATCACCTTTTTCAATATTGATTCAGTTTTCTGGTGAGAATTCTCCACTGCCTTTGCAATAGGTTGCCACATTTCACCATACTTTGGCTCTGAAGCAACGCATCTCTTCACCACATCTTTCTGAGTCTGTTCATTACCATGCTGAATTTCGAATTCGTAAAAAAGTGCCCAGATATCCCCATTATCCGGCGCAAGTTCCACTGCCTTGTCGAAACAACCTCGAGCCTTTTCGACTTTCCCGTGATGCACGTACAGTTTTGCTGCCGCTGCATTGACATAAGGGTCTTTCTCACAGTTTTTTAGGGCATCGAAACATCGCAACTTGCGCTGAGGTTGAGGAACCATCTCGATTTCAGTTGCCAAAAGGATACCACTTGTTGGACACTCTTGCAATGCCTTTGCCATTAACTTATCAGCTTCTTTCTTATTCCCATTGCGAGACTCAACCCGAATAGCAGCAAGCCAGAGTTGAGGATTTCGAGGATTCTTCATCCGAGCCATTGTAAGAACCGCTCGCACTTTACTAACATCATCTGTTTTTTCCTCTAAGCTAGCGAGGGAAAGCCACAAAGGAACTGATTTCGTGCAGTGTTTTAGGCCGGTTTCGTATGTTTTCTTTGCTTGTTTCAAATGACCTAACCGTTCCTCTAGCTGGCCTAACATCAACCAAAGTTTGAAGAATGAAGGGAAACGCTTGACCCCTTCGTCGAGTAGCCTTCTTTCCTCCGTGGTGTTTCCTAACTCTCTCTCGACAATTGCAGATTTCATCCACACGCGTTCTGTACCCTCGCGCACCCTCACCTTGGCGAGAAGCGCTCGTGCTCTCTCACGCTCGTGACTCTCAAACTCGACCTTGAAAGCTGCGAGCAATATTTCCTCAGAGTTAGGGATCGCTGCGAATGCCTCCTGAAGAATGGATCGGACAGCTGGAACGTCGCCAGCGAGCCACTTCTCTTTCGCTCCCATTAACCAGAAAACTTCAACTTTGGGCATATAGGTAACCGCCTTCCGGAGCAGAGCATCAAGAGACTCCCTGGTTCCATGGCATTTTTCAAGCTGTGCTGCTTTCAGCCACACACTCTTCTTGGTGAGGAAAACCGAAATGGCATGAGCGTAAATCACCCGAGCCGTCTCGATTGAACCTCTTTTCTCGCACTCTTCCGCATCAGCGACCCATGTCCTCTTTCTATCCTCCTCTTCCACCCCAATTCCAATGACATTATGAACAATAGCTTGGCAAGTTACAACTGAATTAGTTCTTTCAGCAGCTTCAGCTTCTTTCATCCAAAATTCCCTGTCAATTTCCACTCCTTCTCTCCGTAAAGATCTGATACCCTTTTCTATAACCTTTCCAACCATAGAATCATTCCCATTGGATTCTTCCAACTTCGCCGCGGAGATCCAAATCACGGGTTCCTTAGGAAGCTTCTCTCGAGCCATATTAAGAATCTTCTTTGCATTTTCATAAGTTTCCAACCCGGCAAGTGCAATCCACAACTCCACATGCAAGGGACAACACTCCACAGCTCGGTGGAGCAAAAGCACGGCGTCTTCTTTATCCGAAAGGTCCACCACGGCCTTCCACAGCCTGATGGAACCCGGAATTCGCTCGAGACCCTTCCTTAACACCCGACCCTTATCGACAATGTCGTGTTCCAACCTCGCGGCTTCCATCCACAGCTTCACGGAATAAGGGTTCAGTTTGACTCCCCTAGCAATCACGGATTTCGCCTCACCAGGTGGAGACAATCCAACGGCTTCCAGCCATAGATCTTCACTGTTAGGGCATTCTTCAATACCTCTCTTAATCAATTTCTGAGCCTCGGCTAACCTCCCGGCCGCCACCTCAACCCTAGCGGCCGAAATCCAACCCCTAGGTTCCTTCGGGTTCGAATTTGTCACCGAATGGAACAAACGGCTAAGTTTTTTGTTATCAGCAATATCAGGATGACTGGTAATCATCTCCATCCTGTCCAAATTAGCCAAATAACTCTTAGGATCCACAACTGTTTGTCCGGTTACAGAATCCGAAAGCCGGTCTAAATTGAGAGTAAGAAGTGTACCTCTGCCTTTACCAACGGCCGTCACATCAGTAACCGTCTCCGTCCCGTCGACCGCCTTGCTCTTCGGGTCCAGGGGCGGCTACGAGCTCCTTCTCCCGCCTCGCTTTCTCCAAGGGTATCCGGAACCGGCACGAAACTCTCGTACTTATTCTTTTTATTCTTCTTGTTTCTAAACATGCTGTGATCACTGGCTTCCGGTAGGTTATCCCATTCTTCCGGCGTCACTTCAAGCAATTTCCTCTTCGAAGTTGCGGATTGTTCCGTTATGGTTGGATTCGAAACCCTATGCTTCTCGATTTCTTGTATCAAACTAGCTTCATTCCGTTCCTTCCTCGGAAAAGCCTCGTAAACTGCATCGGCCTCATTGTCTTCAACGTCGTATTCGGCCGATGCGAGAAGCCCCGCGTCATTCCCTACAAAATCGTCAAACTTCTGATTCTGATTACAATCAGATCCATCGTTCTCCTCCTCCACTACTTCCTTTCCGCGTCCCCGGCCGGCGACGACACCGGGTGATCCAGGACGTTACATCGCCGATCGGACGATCCAGGACGGCAGGAAGACGAGCTGGGCCGATATCGGACCGGGTCGTGAATCCGGTAGCACCGCGGCCCAATCCGGCAACGTAATTCGGAGGCGGCTTTGTGTTTAGAAAGTCGAGAAGCTTCTTCGAAGAGGATCCTTGACCTGGCTTCATGCTCCCTGGAAAGATAGTGGTATCCTTGAGAGAATATAATTTTTTTTTAAAAAAAGAAAAAGAATATCTTAAACACAGAATATTAAGTTAACAATCAATTTTATTCACGGACAAAGAACTCTCAGAAAATATGTTGACCTTTGCATTTCTTACTATATAAGAAACAAAAACCACACTTCAAAGAACTCCCCTTTAGTTGCCACGTGGCATTTCCACCTCATTAATTACCATTAGTTAGCATTAAAAATTCACATATATAGTATCTTTTCCCTAATTCCCTTTTCTTTTCTTTATTTCAAGTTAAAATTCTTTCTTTGAAAAATATACTATTCCAATTTTGTTAATTCGTAGCATCCCGTTTAAGTACCGAAACTAGGCAATTATTCGTTTACAAATTATACTTAGGAATTAATTTCCAATCATGGCGAGAACTTGCCATTAATTGCCATTAAGGCTTTGATCTGATCCTGAACTTAACTTTTTTGGGGGAGGGGAAGGTCATTCAGTTCTGATGAGTGATGAAGCTGCTTTTTGTTTTATGTGGTCCTGAGTATGTGCATCGATGCATACCCAGGCTTCTTACAAAAAATAAAAATAAAATAAAGGCCCAACTCGTGACGAGATTGAGCTGAATTAGGGCTGCTCAAAGTAGTATTTGCTTATTTGTTGCACACACACGTTTGAGTTAGAAGAAGAATATAGGTCAAACTCTTTTTTTTTTTCAAACACTCTTCTTCTACAATTCCTCTTTTTCAGCAATATACTCCTACTAATTTATCCAACCTCATATTCCTAATTGGATAAAAGTTCCACCTCCAACCCGAAAATATTCCCTTTTACCTTCTATATAAACCTCAAACCAAAAAAAGTAATAAAACTATCTTCATCATTCATCTTGCTGTGCTGCTATTATTGAAGGTATTTTAAGATAGTATAATGATTTATTTATATTGCCCATCCCTTTCGCATGTGTAAAAATAAATTTATTTTATTCTCATAAATTTTGCTCCTACTAATTCTGATTCTATATTTAATTCCATAGCTTTTGCGTGTGTTGCCGCTCCGCTGCCGTTCTGTTCCCATAGCTTTTGCTAGTGTTGCTGTGACTACTGTAAGTGTTCAAGTTTTTGGGCATGTTATAAAAGTAAAAAAATATAGGGTTTTTGCCTTCATTATTTTTTCTATTATTGTTTGTGGGTGCTTTGAAAACCTTGCGATGATGTTAACATTGGAATATGAATGTTGAAATTATTAAAGAGAATTTTTCGGAGATTTTTGCTTCTGAAATAGGAAAATTTTGTTCAATTTTGAATCTGCATTGATTGATAAAGTGATTTTGTAATTGACGGAATTGGTTTTTATCCTCAACAAATATCCCAAAAGATTGTCAAAGCAATTCTCCTAAATCTCAGATCCCTCCATCCATTCATCCAATGAACAACCACCCCTATTTTTCTCCTCCTTTCAGACTTTTATTTGTCCAAATTGACCATAAAAATTCAATCTTTTTCCAACATGCAAATCAATTTGAATCAGGATTGACCAATCTCATCAAATAATTCTAATTCACTATCATTTAGTCACCTTCAAAAAGAAATGAGTTTTTGACAACGCCTACTGTTTAGTACCATCTCTCTATCCCATAAAAAAACTCTGTATCATTCATAAGTGAATCATACACAACTCCGTATCATTCATTTATGGGGTTCGAAAAACATCCAATTAGGTCTCAGATTTAACCATAACAATCGTCGTCACTTAAGCGTAAAAGTTGTCAGATTACCAAAAATCTAAATATAGAAGTACTGTATCGTGAAATCCAACATAAACTCTCTCACAAACCCCATCCTATAACGATACAAAACTATAGATCTCAAACAAAAGCCCCTAGATTTTAAAATCCAGATACATTTCTAAAACCCACAGACTGATAAGAATTCAACTGTAAATCTCAAATACGCGCAAACTGATTACAGTTATCAAAATCTCATTCCAAAGAAACTTACTTTAATGGGAGACCCAGTGTTGAGCACGCGCTGACCACGGACAAGCCCTTCTGTACCATCCATAGCAATACACCTAACAACATTTTCACCCAAATGCTGAGCGACCTCAAGCACAAGGCGGATCTGGTTATCAAGGACCTCGAGCGCGGTCAAGATGGCAATCCTTCGTCAAACCTCACATCAACGACGACACCGATCACCTGACATACTTTTCCGACGGCACCTGACATGCTTCATTCAATTGCGCGACGGAAAACATCAATTATTATGGGCTTTCAACTTCCCACTCTCCTCATCAACCTCCTGAGCTTTCTTCTGAGCTTCCTTAGCCTTCAAAGCCTGCAATTTAGAATGGTTGTAATACCCAACTCCCAAAAACGCCAATCCATACCCCAACAAGTTAACAATGGTCACAGTATCCTTAATCACCAACCAAGAAAACGCAAACAAGAGCCAATCTTTGACCACCCCGGCAATATTCATGGTCAAAGCTGAGATCTTTCCAACAAGCAAAAACACAGCCAAGTTCAAAGCAAAAGCACAGACGGAATTAGTCCCAAACACCAAGAAATCAAAATTTCAGCCGCTTAGACATGTAGGTTCAGATCAATTAGCCAAGTTCCAATTAAAATGAAAAGAGTACCGATCTTCACTCTTTATAAAATTAAGGAAGAACTAATTTCAAATTTCTCAAAAACCAAAGAAAAGAAAACACGAAATTTGTAAATTTGACCATGATTGCAATCACAAATGTTCAAAAAGAGAAGAGGTGGGGGACTTAAAGAATCCCACTAAGTTCATTTCCGGCGTTCCAGAACGCGAGTAGTGTGGAAATATGAAGCCTGAATCTGAAAAGGGTTGTTCGCTGTAGAGTAGATTATTGCAGCTGTTCTGATTTTATTCATTGCCTAACTCATGAATTTGAGAAAGAAAATGTCCCGGCGAGAGAATGAAGGGAGGAAGAGAGAAACTGGGGAAGAAGTAAGAAAATTTAGGAACAAGGAATTTGTGATGGGGCTTATTTGTTGATGAATTTTGAAGAAAAAAATTGTCAATCTCCAAATTGAGACAACATTGAACAAAAACCCCTCAGAGAGGTTGTAGAGATTTATGTTTCATGGGTTTCATTGTACTATAACCATAACCTTGGAAAGTTCGAATGTGTTGGTACATATAGAAGACAAATCAACATGGAGAATTTTTTATTTTTTCCAAATTTAATTATTTGTTTATGTTCTGTTATTTTTTCCCAAATGTTTATTTTTTCCAAATTTAATTATTTTTCATATGAATCATCAAGATGAAACTACACTAATTTGTGCAAATGTTGTATTTTGTACATGTAATTGAAGTTGATTATGCATTTTACTATCATAAACTTTCCTATAGTTTATAATCATTCTAACTTAGATGAAAATCATATAACAGATTTCATAAACCCCCATGGTTTATCCCATCAATAGTGTTGAACCTAATTCCAATCCCCAACACACCCAAATTGTCTATCTAGACTCAACTTCTTATCGACGTGAAGCAATACGCCGTTGGAAAGCGAAACGGTTGCGTAACGTATTGGAAATAATCCCATACCCCGCGGACATTGTGTTAGGAATGTAAAAACACTTATGTCAAAGCTTACACAAAAAGGTTAACACATACTCTCTCTTATTTTTATTATTTGAACAATTTTCACTCTCAACCCCCTTCAATTCATAAATTGTAAAACCTACAAATGTGATTGATACTTTAGTAACTATTCATATTGAACAGAAAAAAGGATACCTACAAGGGGAAGATGTGTTCTTGATTTCATTCCAACCAAGGCTACTATATTACCAAAACAAAATGACTGCCCCTACTATGGAGCAGTAAAATTTGCACATGAAACATTATTCATGTGTTGTGCAAACGGACAAGTTAAGTTATCAAACAATAAAATACCAGACAATCTTAAAGAACTGTTAATTTCTTCTTCTGTGGAAGCTAAAGAATTTAGAAACATGATTAGAACATACAATAACATGTTTGCTTTCACTTCATTTGGTGTCAAATGTGACAAAGAGTTAGTACATCGAAACAATGGAGTTTACACTTTTAAAGTACAAGGACAAGTATACCACTTCCTTAATGATTTAATGCCCACCAATGAAAAAAACAATAATCTCCAACTTTACTTTTTTGACACTGAAAATGAAGTTACAAATAGACTCTCATCATGTCCCAGATTATCAGAAACAACCTTGCAAAAAATGATTGATATCTTAAAATACAACCCTTATGCTAATTTTTTCAAGAGTTTATCTGATTATCCAAACTTAGAAAACTATGAAATTGTCTTAAGATCCATCCCTAACGTTGACCAAAGAGTATTTAACAAGCCTACAAAATCACAAGTAGCTGCTTTATGGGTAGATGGACAAGAAAATGGTGACCCAAAACATCGTGACATTAGAGTTTACACCCACAATGATGAATCCAGAACAATACAATACTATTATGGGTGTTATGATGCTCTACAATATCCATTAATGTTCCCATATGGAGATTTAGGATGGCACGAAGGAATCCCAAAAAATAATAGTACAAAGAGGAAAAGATGTCAACAAGAGTCTCTAAAAATAATTACCACCTAAATATTTTCATTTACTAATATTTCCCTCTATTTATGTTTGAGTAGTGCTAGCAGCTTCTGAGGATGACCCGAACTATGTGTCTCTCAGAGAATACTATTCATACAAGTTTCAAATAAGAAAAAATGATGACTCTTTTCTTTTACACTTTGGTCGTCTTTTACAACAATATATTGTAGACATGTATGTAAAACTCGAAACTCAAAGACTAGACTAGTATAGAAGAGAGCAAGATGATATTAGGAAAGAATACATGAACGGAGTACAAGATAGCTATGATGCTGGAGAAACTAATGCATCCAAAATAGGCCAAAAAATATTTTTACCACCAACTTTCATAGGAGGTCCAAGGAATTTGAGAAGAAAATATATAGACGCAATGACCTTAGTACAAAAATTTGGCAAACCAGACATATTTTTAACAATGACATGTAACCCAAATTGGCCAGAAATAACAGAACATCTTATTCAAAATGGAGAGGCACAAAATAGGGCAGATCTTGAAGCTAGGGTTTTTCGTGCAAAATTTGAAGAACTAAAAATAGATTTGTTACAAAGACATATCTTAGGTGAAGTTGCAGCATACACATTTGTTATAGAATACCAAAAAAGGGGTCTCCCACATGCGCATTTTCTCCTAATTTTGAAACCACAATACAAAATGTATAGACCTGAAGAATATGACAAAATAGTTTGTGCTGAAATCCCAAACAAAGAAACTAATGAACACTTATATAATTCAGTTATTAAACATATGATACATGGTCCTAGCGGTTCACATAATCCTGAGAGCCCTTGCACGAAAGATGAAAAATGAAAAAGTTCATTCCCAAAAGAATTCTCACCGGAAACAACCCAAACGAAGGATGCCTATCCATTGTATCGTAGAAGGCAAAATGGTCAAAGAGTTAAGATAGGGGATATATGGGTTGACAATAGATGGTGTTGTTCCATATAATGCATACTTACTTGCAAAATATGATTGCCATATCAATGTAGAAATTTGTTCAACAATAATGGCAGTTAAATACATATACAAATATATATGTAAAGGAAATGATCGAATCAATTTTCACATTGATTCATCCCAACCAAATAAGCTAATTGATGAAATCCAACAATACCAAATAGCTAGATGGATAGCTGCACCAGAAGCTATTTGGAGAATTTTTAGATTCGTACTCAATGAAATCAAACCTACTCTAATACATCTTCCAGTTCATCTAGAAAATCATCAGCCTGTTACATTCAGAAAAAAAGATAGGCTTAAAGATGTCATTGAGGATCCCATGCGCCAAAAAACAAAATTAACCGAATTTTTCCATATGAATTCGACAAATGAAAAAGCCCAAACATTAAAATTAACTTATAATAAATTTCTAGAATATTTTGTATGGCTAGATCAAGGCAAAAAGTGGAAAGAAAGAAAAAAAGAGAAATTCTGTAGGCAGGATGGTTTCAGCGCACCCTTCTGAAGGAGAAAGGTACTATTTAAGACTACTATTATCGAAAGTAAAATGCCCAAAATCATATGATCACCTAAAAACCTACGATGGAAAAATAGTCAAAACTTTTCGCGAGGCAGCTTTAATTCATGGGCTATTACAAGATGATAATAGCCAAGAACTTTGTATGCAAGAAGCATCTACATATCAAATGCTGTATGCATTGCGACGCCTTTTTGCAACATTGTTATATTACTGCCCTCCAAACAATCCAAGAGATCTTTTTATGAAGTTTGAACAAAGCATGTCTGAGGATTTTGCGAGAGATAAAAACTTATCAACTTGGGCAATCAAGAAAAGGATATTTGATATGCTTATATTTTACCTATTTATTATATCCCTAATTTGTGATTTTTGCAATATATTTTGAGTACAAATATGCTATTTATGTGATTTTATCTTTAATTGTAGGAATTGTACTCAAATGAAGAATTGTTGAAGTTTTGAGCTAAAATCGAATTAAAAGCAACTCAATGAGAAAGAATTGAAGATTGGAGCAATTGATGGGGAAAAAATTAATGAGTTTAGAGAATTGGAGGGCCGATGATGCAATTTTGGAATGTTTAATTTTTGGAAAATTGGCCGAAGGTTATGATGGTGCGGCTGATTTCGGATTGGAATTGGATAAGAATTTTAATCCCGATATTATTTGGGAAACAAGTTTTCTTGTCCTTCAAGAAGTAGGGTTTAGCCGGAAGCCCATAAAAGGAGGATTAGGGATTTATTTTTACAACAGAACTGGACCGAAAACTGACCGAAACCCTACGGTTAAAACTCCATCACCGCCAAACTCTCTCCTCTCCCAGCCGGTAGCATCATCATCATCGACCGCCATCATCACCATCTTCTCTGCTCCTTCACCGGCGGCATCATCACCATCATCGCCACCAGCTTCCATAACCACCACTGCTGCTCCACCTTCTTCCTCTTCTTCACGTACGCAGCACCACCGAAGCCGCCACCTTGCTTCTTTCTCCACTTCGCACACACGCACCACCGACGGCAGCCACTCTTTCTCCTCCATTCCCACGCAGCAGCAGCAGCAAACACTCACCTTGTCTCCCTCATCCACATCACCGCCGCGCAGCACCACCAGTCCTTGAGCTTCAAACCGCCGGGGAGCTTTTCGGCTTTAGGCTTCATTCGGGTTTTGAAGTTTAATTATTTAATTTATTTATTTTTATTATGTCTCTAAATATTATTGAATTATTTTTAATAATGTTTAGTGGCTAAATTCTTTTAATCTAGGGCTTGGGTGTAGCCACCGAATTTATTTGGTTTATTTGGTTTATTAGTATTTGACTTTTCTATTAATTAATATTTGTTATTCTTGTTTTAATTCATGTAAGTAATTGGCCACTATTTGCATGTCTGAAGATACTAATCGAAGTAGCGAGAGTGGAAGATTAGTATTAGTTCGTAGGAATAATAAACTTAGGTTGTAAACTACGAGAGTAAGATTATAACCTTCGCAATATTTGATTCTTAATGGTCTTAATGTGCTTTTGTTAATCCCTATAGTCACGAGAGTAGTCATAGGTTAATCTAAGTAAGAGAATTATAACACGAGAGTGAATAGTTCTTAATTAGGTGAATCGTTGTGAGATTAATGGAAATTAAAAGTCAGATATTTATGAACTGAACTAACCCAAATATTCGGTAGGTGAACCAATGTCTTAGGTTTTCTTTGTCTGATTATTTGAATTAATATTATTTGCTTTATTTTATTTATTTATTTTAGGTTTAAATTTTATAAATCTGAGATCATCATTTATCTAGATAATAATAGGAGTAATTTATACCTGGTAATTAGTATTCCTTCTCCGTGGGATCGACCCTACTTTCTGCTTTACTACTAGTAATTGTATTAAGTAGGTAATTAATATTTGACTAGTGTGACGACGGCTTGTCAATATTTGAACAAATTAATTCATTCCTGGAATGTCTAGGGAAAAACATTAATCAATATGATATAATACCATCCACTATGCAATTAGATGATATACAACCATCTACTAGAGAAATGGAAGCTGAAAAGAACATAATTGTTACTGAAGAAGACTTAAATTCCAAACATGCATTAAATGAAAAACAAAAACAAGCATTTAATGAAATAACTGATGCTATTTATAACAACAAAAAGAAATCATTCTTTGTTGATGGCCCCGGAGGAACAGGGAAAACATTTTTGTACAGAGCATTACTAGCAGATGTTAGGTCAAAGAATTTTTTTGCTCTTGCAACAGCCACATCGGGTATTGCAGCTTCCATACTTCCAGGAGGTAGAACTGCTCATTCTAGATTCAAAATCCCTCTTGATATTACCCGCTCTATCGTATGCAGAATTAGTAAACAAAGTACCCTACCAAAATTAATCAAAGAAGCAAAATTCATTATTTGGGATGAAGCCCCAATGGTAAAGAAAACTGCAATAGAAGCTTTGAATACTCTTCTCCAAGATTTGATGGAAAACAAAGAACTTTTTGGTGGTAAAGTAGTTGTTTTGGGAGGAGATTTTAGGCAAGTTCTACCTGTAGTCAAAAAAGGAACAAAATTTCAGTCAATGGATGCTTGCTTAATAAATTCTCCTCTTTGGCCATTCCTTCATAAACTCCAACTTACAGAGAATATGTGGGCACAATTTGATCCCAGATTTATAAAATTCCTCCTTAATATTGGTGATGGAACTGAACCTTCAACAAATGATGACATGATTACTATTCCAACTTCAATGATTATCCCTTACCAAGATGAAACTAATTCTTTGCAACAACTTATTGATAGTGTGTATTCAAATTTTGGTTTATCCCAACAACATTGCCACACATCAATAAAAGCAGCTATTCTAACCACAATGAACCAATTTGTCGATGAAATAAATGGCATGCTCATAAATAAATTTCCCGGTACTTTGACTGAGTATACAAGTTTTGATGAGACCCTAGATCCCAATAATCAAACACAATACCAAGATTTTCTCAATTTAATGACCCCAACAGGTTTGCCCTCCCACAAATTAAGTCTCAAAGTTAATGCCCCAGTGGTACTTCTTAGAAATTTGGACCCCACAGAAGGTCTTTGCAATGGAACTAGACTAACATGTATATCACTACAAAAGAATGTCATCTATGCAAAAATAGCTGTAGGAGATTTTATTGGAAAACAAGTTCTAATTCCAAGAATCCCATTGGAACCACCCAGTGATGAACAATATCCAGTGCCTTTTAAAAGAACTCAATTCCCCTTACGCTTATGCTTTGCAATGACAATTAATAAAGCTCAAGGCCAAACACTTGACTCGGTAGGCATTTATCTGAAAGAACCTGTCTTTTCACATGGCCAATTGTATGTTGCTCTCTCAAGAGCTAAAACATCTTCAAGCGTAAAGGTTCTTATTAAACCAACATTTTTTAATAACAAATGTCTGGACCAGATGAAAAACATAGTGTACAAAGAAATACTCCAGCTTTGTCATCCTTCTACAGAGTATTTATTCTACCTTCTCTCTTTACATAATAATCCTGATTATACAATATTTTTTTATGTGTACAATTGGTCTAATAATATTTATTTATTTATTATATCACAGGTGAAAATGTCAAGGCAAAGTGTTATGATCAACCAAGTGAAACCACAAGTTGGTGGAAGAAGGTCAAGGTGGACTGCGCTCATTCAAGTGGTTGAAAGGTCTAAAATTCAACAAACTCGCTCCGGAAAGACAAATGAGATAAGAAGATATGTATTTACTCATGAGGAGGTAAAATAAAACTTTTAAAGTAAACAATAAAAATAAGTTTATAATGACTAACAGTTTTTTTTGCAGGGGACAAAGGTTGGTGCTGCCATTTTTGACAACGATATCCGCTACTTTGATGATCTTCTTATATCGTGTAACCGATATTGGATCTCAAATGCCTTTGTCAACCGAGTTGATGAGAACTATAAAATCAGTGTTTACCCGTATTCATGGTTTATAAACAACAGCACCTTGGTTGAGCCACATGATGAACCAATACCGCCTTCTTTGCCATTCAATATAGACACAGCAACTATGTCAGACATACAAAAATATGCTGATTCTGATACTTCTATTAGTAAGTTTTAAGATACCTGCATTTCATAAAGGGTCTAAATTATTTTTATTACAGTTGTTACATTAATATCTAACTGATACTTTGTGTATATGTAGCTTTTGAAGCATTGGTTATTCAAGTGTTACCCCCAAAAACTCAAGGAAAAAACAACACCACTTCAAGAGACATTGTTGTAATCAATCAAGAGTAAGTACCAACAAAAAAATATCCATATAGTTGCTTTTATATTAATTACATATATTTATATTTTACATAAACACAATGCTTATTTTTCAGAAAGTGTCCCATGATAATAACACTGTGGAATGATTTCCATCTTGATGAGGGTCAAACAATTGCACAGATGGTTAACACAACTCCTACTCTCCTATGCTTCAAACTACGAGCCTCAACATTCAATGGTAACTAAAAACATCATTTTTATTAATATTATACTCAATTTGTATGTTCACATCAAAGTATGGTCATCTTTGCAGTGCTTTCCTTGACTACGAGGCCGTCATCGGCATTGATAATAAATGCTCCAAGAAAAACCCGCGATGCCCTTCGTGACTGGTATAAACCACAAAATTAAATTACATTTTTTAGCATTAATATAACTTACTATAACTTATTGTAACTTACTGTAACAGGTACCAAACGAACAAAGAAGAGATAATTGGAATGATAGAAGGTCAAGCATACAAGAACACAGATATTTTACTCCCTCGACCTTTGGAGCAAACAATTTCAACAATCAACCAAGCATTGAGCCTTTTCAACAAAAAGGTATATCTAATGTTGCTTCAATCATTTATCATACATTCAATTATAGACCTGCTAACATTTATACCTTTCAATCTCAGTTCTATACAGCATGGGTAAAAGTCAAAACAACCTTAGCTCCTTCTCAATCCGCTTTCTGGTTTGCCACATGCAATAACTGCCAAAAGTCAATCAATGGCGATGTTGGTCGAAATATTAAATGCATATCGTGCAACCAAAATGTTAAGCTGGAGGCCAGGTAAATATTTACTCAAACCCACTAAAAATCTCTTATAAACCAACCAAATGCATTTACATGAATGCTAAAAATAACTTAATACACCACTAACTATTCAAAATTTACTCCTATACAGAACTAGAATTCTGCTAGAATTGACAGACTCAACAGGCACAATCATGGCATCTGTCCTTGCAACAGAAGCTGAAAAACTCATCGGCGTTAGTGCTGAGGCTTTGAGAACTGGAGAAGATCAGGTACACATCACTCAATGATATTGCTCAAAACTATGCTAAATAATAAACTATCATTTAACCAATTCAATAATCTTTTGTTTCCAATGCAGGATATTGACCTCAGTACAACTATTCAAAATGCTCTAAAGCAACACACCATTGTTGCATTCCTCAGAAAATACGATAGTACATTCCAGGGACGTGCCTCAGAAAAATATAGTATTGTAATATCATACTTAATCCAAGATCTTCTCATGAATGAAACACCCCAAAGGAAAGCATTACCATTTGAAGAGATAACCTCAGAAGGACATACGGAAATGACAGTGCCAACACCTACAGCAAAACGGAGTATCGACTCAGCAAGCCCAATGGAGGATATCAATCCTAGCCCCCAGAAGAAGCTTGAAAAGCTCGATTAAAATCCACATCTTACTTGCATTTTTACAAACTTAAATAAATCACTCCGAGAATATTTAATGTAACGATACTCTATTTCTCGGATGTTTATATCCTTATATTTCATTCATTCTATAGATTTATGGAAATATTTTGAACTTATCATGGAGGAAATATTTTTTTAATTACATTCAACAAATTGTTATCAATTATTATTGACCAAAAAAATCACATATATACTGGACCAGGGCCGCGCATTGCACGGCCAGGCATCACTAGTATTTATAGAGCTTAAAAATCACTACGAGTACTAATTCAAAAGGTAAAAGGAAATCAAGCCTAATTCCTACTAGAATAGGAAACTTCCCAAAATCCAGCGGAATCTGGAATTTTGAAAAATTAACTTCTAGTGAAAATTCGGTAGGACGTCAAGAGCAAATAATTAGAGTATAATCTATTTAATATTAAAAGAGAGTTTTCAATAAACATGTATCACTCAATTAGATACAGTAGAACGTCGGTAAGTTAATAATCGATAAATTAATAACTTCTAGCAATTAATAATTTTCTCCGATCCCAACTTGAGACCAGTACAAAAAGTGACACAAATCGATAAAATGATAAGATGATAATGTTTTAGAAAATCCCCTATATATCTATAGATCCCAACAATACTGTAAATTAATAAGTACCTTAAAAGCTAAAAAAAATTACTAATATCTATGAAGATTTAGTAAAATATGAGCTTATTGACACTTGTTTTTTCTTAAAATTTAAATCCAATGAAATTTCATCATTGATTTGTCTCAATGCCCTTGAAGTTCTAGTGTTGTATTCTCAAATTGCAACAAGAAATTCTGAAAAGTTATTGTTGGTTTGAGTGTTTCTTTTCGTGTCACTAGTGTCCAAGGCAGTGAATCATCATCACCTCCATTCTCAATTAAATTATCTTCAAAGACACTAGCTACAATATTCTTAAATGATTTGACCGCTGTAGATTTATCATTTTTACCTAGATAATTCACCAACTGATTGACATTCATCTTATTAGGTTTGAGTCTATTATTAAAAAGAGTTACATTCCTTACTTGTTTAAGATGGTAAAGAAATTATGGAAAATTATGTAGTATAGTAGGGTTTTTAAAGAAAAAATTCTTTAAATTAATAATTTATTAATTTATCGATTATTTAATAATTCGCTAAATTAATAAAATTTGGTGGTCCCAACACTATTAATTTATAGAAGTTTTACTGTAGTTCAAAGTCTTCTTTGTTGCATGTCAAATTCCGAATTTTTTTTTACACATGTTAACGCCAGAGTCCCCTTTCATTAAATTGTTCAAATTTTTTTGTAAATTAATTATTTCAATATACTTTTTATCCATGCATTTCACCCATTTTTATTACATTCCATATATATTTTGATTATCTACTTAATTAATAATGAAAAAATCCGTCTTTTCCATTTATTGGTTGTTAAGAATGATTTTCCACACTTTTAAAGCATAGTTTACTGTAGTGAAATTTTTTTAAAAAAAAAATCATAAAATTTACTTTAGAGGATGAAAAACTATCAATTATGTATAAAAAGTAGTATTCTTCAGGGAAATCTAACAAAAAAAATATTACTACGTAGATGTTATATAAAACACTACATATCATTATATTTCTTTCTTCCTTTTGAGTTCACAAAAACTTTCTTTTTGAGTTGAGTAAATTTACTTGTAAAAATTTATGAAATTACACTACAAATTATTATCAATTTTATCAATTATTACTTCTAAAATTATATCTCGAATGAGTCATTCTAATATTTTATCATTCAAAATGTACACTATCTGTGAATATGAAATATATAAAAAGATGGATGTGATTTACACAACAAAATATGGACAAGAAAAAAAAAACTTGAATGAGGGGGCAGTGGAGGATAAATACTTAATAAAGAGAGTAGCACTTTTGAATAATTTGTATTAGGGGCATAATAATACAACCATACAATCATGAATTTATCTTTTTTTAAAAAAGAAAAAACTATTTGTATCAATTTAAATAATTTAAAAGTTTGTTTAATTTAATTTTTTTTATGTAAGCCTGATTAATATAACAATACGAAAGTGGTTATTGACCAAAACAATTCTTAAATATGCAAAAGTTTTGATATTGTTATATTTGAAATTTTGAGTAATACAGAAAAAATTAATTAATTTAACTCTTGTAAAATGGGTTGTACGGCTCATTTAAGTACAAGGTTTTGGAAAGATAATTTATATAATTTTGATTAAGTTCATGTGAAGGAGAAAAATAGTTTACTTATGAAAATTAAAATTATATGGGAAAAAAATAAAATCTCCGATTAGAAATTAGGAAATATTGACCTTTATTTTTAAAGTCAACACATTTATATTATTACATCACGTGATATATTAATTTTAAATATTATAATTTACCGTCATTGGAAAATAGATTTAATTTATGTGTTAAAAAATCAAATGAAAAAGTGTTTTTTTTCAAGGGTTAGAGTCATGTTTGTATCATTGAATTATAATGTTCCTAACACAAATTATTCAACAATACTACCCTCTTTATTAATTATTTACTATCTACTGCCCATGATCCAAATTTTTTCAAAGAAAATATATCACAAAACCTAACACAAATTTTATCATATTATGACGATAACGTTCAGCTCACTTAGGATCATAATTTTATAATTTTACACAATACATATAACAAAATCCGTGCAACGCACGGGAATAATTCTAGTATTTGCAAAAGTAATTATTATGTGTTTTATAGTTTATTAAATCCAGATTTTGAGGAAAAAAAAAAAAACAAACACTGAACTCTTCTTAATCTACTAACTGATTAACTGTTTATTTGAGATTCTTGATTACTCCATCCATTCTATTAATAAAATATATGTCTTTCCAGCAATTTATTAATACCAATAAAATATTAAATAATATGTTTAAAATATAAAATCACTCCCATTTGTCATATACTCATCACCAACCGATACAATCTCATTTTAATTGATATCATTTCATTCCCTTTTTTTAAAAAAAATAAAATATCATTTCATTCCCAGTGCAAGCGTAGTATTGAAAAAATAGGATAAAAATTACCTCGATTTTCTTAAAAGACATATATTTTGAAAAATCTTGTAAACCTTTAACGACATATGTTATAAGAGGGAATACCAAACAACGTCCTATTTGTCATCTCACAAAAAGAAAGTTACCAAACTGAATTCAACAGAATCCAAAAAAGAACTAAACCAGAATGCGTGTGAAAGTTGATCCCCAAGCCATTACAATTTACAAAATTTTGAAATCGTAAGAATAGACGAAGGGCAATCCCAAACCTTAAAGAGCTAGATATCAAAGCTCTTGAATTACTAGAGGAATAGTCTAGGGAAGTTCAACACTTGGACAAACTCCAAGTTCTATATTTGTAAGATAAGCATGTGATGATTACAAAAAAGTTACTCATATCCCAAAGATTTTTATTTTGGATGCATAGGATGGAAGAAGGTACCACAGGTGCCATGCAGCCATGATCCTGGAAGACCGGCTAAAGAACCTATCCCTTTTGCGGCGCTGAAATCAGCCGCGGGCAAAAGATGGAGAGTTTGGAGGGAGCGTCGTCGGAAACAAAACCCTATTTCTTAAATCACTATATCTAACCCACAGAAATCATACAAAAACAAAAATTTGATTGATTTATCCCACAAAAAAATATTTTTGGAGGCTTCTACAAATAATAAAACTAAAATCCTTTTTATATAATCTTTGTAACTATCTAAACCTACCTTAGATAAGTAACGGACTCTTCTCCTAATACTCCTCCATCCGAGGAAATAATCCACATTGAATTTTTAATTTTTTTTTAGGTAACGGGAACCCCACCAGAGATGGATAAACACACGCTCACTGCAACACAGCTGGACATAAACCACCCTAGATAAACCCGGGGTGACTAGCTCCCCACCAGAAATTGGTAAACCCACGCCCACTGCAATACAGTGAGAGGTAAACCACCCTAGGCAAACCCGGGGTAACAAGTTCGGGTACGAAATTGGGGGTTCTTTAGCGGATAGCCATAACAAGCTCATAGAGGTGGCAATAGGCAAGATGAGAGTCAACCACTCACTTTTTGAGGGAGTGGGGGTGGCTTCCTCTTGCTCGGTGGTTTTATCACTGAACCAATTCCTCATTCGCTGATTTTAAATTTGTACTAATATTTTTTATTATTTTAACAAAATTAAATAAATAATTATCAAATTGTATTAAAAAATCATATTTATCTTACAATTATAATTTCAAGAATTATTTTGTGGGATTAATTGCTGATATTATTGTGTCATTCAATAGTGGATAGAGTGCAAGAGGAAAAATAAAATTTTAATAAGTATGGGACTTGTCTTGAATTTCGGCGGAAATGGAATTTTGGAGAAACCAACTCCATCTGAATCAGGCCGAATGCAAAGAGAAATTTTTTTAAAAAAAAAAATTAAATATAAATATTGAAATACGTTTTTATAGTTTTTCCTAATAAAAAATTTAGATTTTGCGAGAAATTGAACTCTTCATCTACTATATACACTAAAGCGATTTACTGTTTCTTTTAAGTTTTCTGTCACCATAAAGAGTTAGAAGATTTGTTTACCTCTTATTTATCGATACTAGTATTATGCCCGTACATTGTGCGAATTTTACTATATTTTAGAGTAACATTAATATACTATTATTTTTCCTATGAAAAGTGTCATATGTTTTAGTTTTTTCGTTTTTTGGTATATTGCGCATTCGGAGTCCAAATTCAAGAGTGTCATATGATATTTTTTTTTTCGTTTTTTGTATATAGTGCATCCGGTGTTCGAAATCATTGTTCCAACTAATCCGCCTTCGAATCGGGTAGGTCACTTTTGGAAGACAAACATCTCCCAACAATCATTACTACATGCCCATGCACATATTTAATCATGGATTGTAGATTTGTTGTTAACCTGGTCCAATACTTCTACCACTTTGATCAAATATTTCTTAGCCATATAGGGTATTTTAAAATATAAATTAATAATTTCAACTATCTAATATGCTTCTTGTTTAGGAGTGTTACTATATCCAAAAAAAAAACAAAAAAAAAGTTCTAAATACGAATTAATATGATCAATTGTCTACTATCCTACTTTTTTAAGGATATAAGTATATAAAAGTTATTTTCAACAATAAAAATTAAATCATCTATATTTTTAAATATATTGACTGAAAAGCATATATTGTTTACTTATAGTAATTGAATAAAATATTATAAATTATTTTAATAGCCACTTTGTTAAAGTAAAAAACTATAAGAAAGTGAACTTCTAGTTTGGGATTGATGGAGTATGTTCGTTCAGAAATAAGAACCTCTTTCTCCGTTAATATATTATTACACAGTTAATGCTATAAAAAGACACAGTAAAATGATTAGAAAAGTTCCAAAAACTAATTACTACAAATCAGATCAAATAGAAACTGAACTTGCCATGAAGGTCAACTTTTATTTCAACATTTTAAACTTATTAACATCACTATTCATTGGTACAAGTAGCCAGGTTCATTAGATAACATTGAAAAATATAGAAAGAAAAGGACACACAAAGTGATCTCCGCAGACACCTAAAACAGAAACAAAAGAGAGTAATCCACAAGCTACTTCTACCATATGACAAAAGAAAATTAATAAATAATTTTGAAATACTTATTCATACTCCAAACTTTTTCCTTAGTTTTTTTTTAATAGTAAAACAAGTTATAGCTGGCAGATGCAGGACCCATTTAATTTATCTAGACTCATAACTTTTTCTTTAGTTATGAGTGCTTTTCAAGGTACTTATTCTTTTGTAATCACGGTGCCACACTTCTCCCGTAAAATCAAAACACATAGATAATCATGCACTTAAAGTAAATATATTTAACTATTAATATCTCAAATAGAGTATATATTTACCTTCAGACTATAGAGCATAAACAATTTCGTTTTAATCTATCTGACTCCTTTAGACCGAGATTGATGCATAACTAATTTTAGCTAAAGCCATTGAAATTCTATAATAACAAAGGTGCAAAACATACTAAAATGCATGAGACCCTCGTGATTGTTTAAAAATAAAACCATCAATACTCATAAATATTTGTCAATGACATACAACAGAAATAATCCTTAACATGGAAAATATAAAGCATGTTCTAAAAATGATGCCTTCCCTATAGAAAAGAAAAGGTATGTCCATACTACCAAAATTTTCCTTATTATGTCGAAGTTTAAAATGCAAGATAAAATGATTAGTTAACAGTTCAAAACAAAGGGGAAAAAATTTTTCTATTGATGAACCTTTTGCAATCTACGACCACATTTCCCATTATTAATCATAAATCAGATGGAGGGTCGTTCACAAGTATCCACACTGGAATAAGCTAACGAACCTTCTTCAACACAAGTAAAATTAATAAATCAAGTGAAATTCTAACAATCACTCTAAACACTGAGTTAATAATATTAAAGTACAATTTACCATGTCAATTGAAACCCATCATACTTCCTTTTCGACCAACAAATGAAAATATCCATCCAGAATAACAACTCAACAAAGAGAGATGCCAGTGGATATCTTTTAGACAAAAAAAAGAAATTCAGATCGAAGGGAAGGAGGGAGGGGGGAGAGATAGAGGACGAAGGGGAAGAAAAGAAGATGAGAGAATTAGAACTTAACCACTTTATTTTTTTAGTAACTAATCTTTTTTATTTTTGAAAACTATATCAAATGGAATTATGTGAAAACTAATATTAACCTTCGTTTAACGTATTCACATCTGATTGTAAATTGTGTTGTAAGAGAAATTATTGGTACTTATCTCTTTTTATTTTTGGTAATCCAACTCTTTTTGTTTTTGAAAAATATATTAAATGGAATCATCTTCAAAAAATAATACTAACCAACATTTAATGTGTCTGGACTTATTTTCGAGTTGTATTCGGAACATAATAATTTGATAACTAATATTTTTTATTTAATTTTTGAAAAATATATCAAATGAAATCATCTGAGAAATAATATTAACCTACGTTTACTGTATCTAGATTTGGTTTCGAATTGTATTCATAATATAACTAACTCTTTTTACTTTTGAAAAATATCTCAAATGGAATCATGAAAAATAATGTTGATCCAAGTTTAATAGATATAAATTTGGTCCCAATTGTGTATGTATGTAGTATAATCATTTGCTAATTAATCTCTTTTTAGTTTCTGTAATTAAACTCTTTTTATTTTTGAAAAATATATCAAATAAAATTATTTTAAAAATAATATTAGCATACATATGATGTATCTAAACTTGATTTCAAATTGTATTCGTAATATAATGATTTGGCAACTAATCTTTATATTTTTGATAACTATTTTGTTTTTTGAAAAATATATAAAATGGAATCATTTAAAATAATACTAATATACATTTAATGTATCTAGACTTAGTTTTTAATTAGATTCATAATATAATGATTTAGTAGCTAATCTCTTTATTTTTGTAATTAATCTCTTTTTATTTTTGGAAATATCAAATAAAATGTTTTGAGAAATAATATTAATCTACATTTAATGAATCCATACTTGGTTTTCAAATTGTATTCATAACATAATTATTTGTAACTAATCTCCTTTTATTTTTTATTAAATTAATCTCTTTCTATTTTTTGAAAAATATATTAAATGGAATCATCTGTAAAATAATATTAACCTATCTTGTATTTATACAGACTTGGTTTTGAATTGTATTTGTAGTATAATTATTTAGTAACAATTCTCTTTTTATTTTTGAAAAATTTATCAAATGAAATAATTTGAAAAATAATATGATCATACATTTAATTTATCCAGACTTAGTTTCATATAGTATTCGCAGTATATTAATTTGGTAACAAATATATTTTTTTGTTATTGGTAACTAATCTATTTTTATTTATGGAAAATATATCAAATATAAGCATCAGAAAAATATTGTCAACTTATGTTTAATGTATCCAGACTTAGTTTTGAATTGTACTCGTATAATTAATTGGTAAATAATCTCTTTGTTTTAGTAAGTAGTCTCTTTTTATTTATGGAAAATATACTAATCATCTAATAAATAGTATTAACATACTTGTAATGTAGGTAGACTTGGTTTCGAATTGTATTCATAATATAGTTATTTGGTAATAATTTTTTTTAAAACTAATATCTTTTAATTTTTGGAAAATATATCAAACAGAATCATATTAAAAATAATATTAACTTACGTTTAATGTATCCAGAATTAGTTTCAAAATTTATTCTTAATACAATTATTAATTTGATGATTAATGTTTCCTTATTTTTCTGAAATTAACTATTGATTAATTATTTAATTCAATTTAACAATTTTATGTATTAGTAATAAACTTTTAACTGTTTAATGAAGGAGAATTTGGTGACAACATGTGGCACAATTGGCTAAACTTGCTCACTGGATGACACGTGTCGATTAATAACTCTGTTTTAATATATATATATATATATATATATATATAGTTTTCCACGATTTCTTATTCAAGTCACTCGTTATACACCTTGTAATTATCAAGATTTTTAGAACATTTCTTAGAAGGAAAAAAGAAAAAAATATATACAATAATTCTGTAACAAATAAGACAAGAAGTTGTACATATAATTCTTAAGATATAAAGCTATAAACTTTAAAGAAGAATTAAGGGTAAAAAAAGAAGATCAACACCTTCAAACGTTGCATCTCTAAAGCGTGAAATTTTAGCAAGCCTTGCTTCCACGCCTCCTAGCACCTTACGAATAAAGGCGTGAAATCTCTGACAATAAAGTGATAAACTCTCCATTTCCTCCTCTTCCTAGTTGTGAGCCTTCTCTGTCGATTTGGGCGGGATTTTTTGGTCTTCAATTTTCCAGTTCGCTCCAGTACGATGGATTCTGATTCAGCAAAACACCATGAACAACCCTTTAAAAGATCCAAGCTTTCTGCAGAAGAAGACAACCCACAAGAAGCCGAAGTTGATCGAATCAGCAATTTGCCCGATACGATTCGATGTCACATTTTGTCATTTCTCCCAACAAAATTCGCTGTGGGAACCTCCATTCTATCCACCCATTGGAAGAATCTGTTTGCTTTGATCCCAGATCTTAAATTGGAGTTTGACGATACCTTACTTCTGCATCCCTCGAAGAAAAGAAGAGTATGGGGAGAAAAAGGGGATGGAAATGGTTTTCCGGGTTTTGTTGCCGGAGTTATGAACAGGTTGATGGAAACCGCCAGTAGCATCCGTGAATTCAACCTGAAATGTTACGGAAGATACGAAGATGATGACTGTTTTCTGTCTGCTGTTGATGCTGCTGTTAGACTTCGCGTCCAAACTGTTTGTCTTAATGTCTCAATGAATTCTTCCAGTAGTAATAGGAGTTTAATTTGTAGTCTAAATGGCTGCACCACCTTGGTGAAGCTGGTGTTGACGAGCTGTTTGTATTCCTCGACTCTTGTTGACCTTCCTGTGGTTTTAAAGTTTCCCAATCTGAAGAGTTTGATTCTTGAGCAGGTTACTATTTCTGATGATATGGAACTGCTTTTGGATGGATGCCCTGTACTCCAGCAGTTGGAGATGTTTAATTGTGACTTTGAGATATTTGAGGACACCTTTCGCATCAGTGTACATTCATTGAAGGTGTTGACTTTGAAATTTTGTAATATGTTTGGTGAATTGCTTATCGTCGTAGACACACCGGAGCTCGAAACTTTGTTCTATGGTGGCTTACTTTATGAAAGATACTCATTTGTGAGCAATTTTACTCGAATTTGTGCTCTGGAATTATATGTTCTTTGGTTTGATGGAGAGGACTCTGCTGCCGAGCTCAGTCTACCTCAATTCCTCACTGCATGCTCTAGAGTTGAGTGTCTAATTTTTGGACAATCAACAATGGAGGTCAGCATTCTTAGTCTTTGGTATCTTTCTATGAATGTAATGTATTTTTCTTATCGCCAGTTGATTGGTAAATTAGTCAACCGTTACTGTTTGTCTCAACGTGGTGATTTGTCTATCCAATTTTTGTTGCAGACCATTTATCGATTGTCGCTTCCATTGCCTAAACTTTGTAATTTAAAGATGTTGCGCACCCGAGTCGCTGGGATGGGTTCATGGAACACGTTGCGGAGATTAATTGAAGGTTCTCCAAATCTTGAAATGCTAACTATTGACAAGGTCAGTTCAATAATCAAATTAATACATATCTTTGATGTCTTGCATAGCCAAAGAGTGATTCTGATTCAAATCTGTTTTTGTTCGTGATATTAAGATACAGTTCTCTGCCTTTTCATTTTCTTGTGGCTTTTGTTTTTCAATCAGGGATCGAGCATGATTGATGGCGACTATACATGTTTTTTGTCACCATTTGAGGGGGTGCCTTACTGTTTATCCTCGAGCATTACGTGCATAGAGATTAAATCATTTGAAGCTCAAGAAGAAGAACTTAAATTTATTGAATATCTTTTGGAGAATGGTAAAGTTCTAAAGAAGATGGTTTTCGATAATGAATTTGACTGGAAACAGAATGATGATGTCTTCAAGCGAATACTTGAGGCTGAACTAAAATCAAAGACTTGCAAGATTTTCGGGTAAGTGTAAATTAACATTATGTGAAGAACGTAGACATGGTAGGCTAGCAAGTACTAAATACTTTGATTGAAGATGGAATTCTACCTAGATGGGATATGCAAATTAAACTCGCGATTGTAGAAGCTTTATTGGGTGTATTTTTTGTCTATATAAAGATTTATGTTGGAGAATGTTTTACACTTCACCTGTAGTTACTACATGGTAAGGATAATACTTGAAAAAGGGTTGCTGCATGCTAGATCAAAAAGAGGAGCAATTCATCTCTTCTTAGTAGTAATTCTCTTGTAGTTACTCCCGATGATTTGCCTCTTTACTTTCTTTATTATTACCCTTCCAATAATATTGATTATTATTACAATGAAATGAGCTGGGTTGATGAAAAAGCTGATGGCAGAATTACTGAAAGAAATTAGATCATTGTCAGTCATAAATTTTTGAATACAAATTCTTCAATATTGACTCCTTTTGGTTGACCACGTGGGAGCGAGATACATCCATAGAGTAGGATTCTCTTAATGCACATATGTAGATTGATGTGTGGATGATGGACGAATATGCTGTGTGTACAAGAATTTGGAACAAAAATGTGTACGATAGTATCTTTATTGAGAGCCATCTGTTCTTTGCGGTTCTAGGATAACCATGACGAGTTAGTCCAGCTCGTGGAAGCTTCCAATGAACAAATGATTTTTGTATGGTCATCTGATTGTAGTGATGGGAATTGGTGCAAAAGTAGTACTCCCTCTGTCTAGAAATGATTGTCCAGTTTGGATTTTCATTTTCAGTTCAACTTGTACTTAAAGTGGAAATCCAAACTGAACAATCATTTTGGGAAAGAGGGAGTAGTAATATTACTGCTATACTGATGAGGAGGCATCATTTTTCGCACGCAATAATTCTTTATCCAACTAGATTAATTAGATGTATCCAGTCTAGATGTATGGTATCGGGAGGGTTTGATTTCAGATGACGGCATTCCCACTGGGAAATTAAGACAGATCCAACTGAGATAATCCTCTCTTGAAATTAAGACGTGTTCTCACTGGATAATTAAGCAGCATAATCTTCCTCCTTTTTTTTTATTTCCCTTCTGATAGCTTTTGCTTTGCCTAGTTTAAGCATTCAGTCATGATATGTATAGCAGTGACCGCAACTTGATAATCTGGTATGGGTAGTTTATTAATTGATCCGGTATAGGTATTTTCTTTGGCAACCCAGCCTCATTTCTTCCTTTACTGAAAGCATTACTTGCTTCTTTTATTTCATTTGTTGAGACTTTTGAGTTCAGATGTTTAGCTGACCAGCCTGCTCGCTTCTGGATATGCATAAACCTCTGTTGTTGTACTTAATTTTCTGCTCAAACTGTTTTAGATGAATAAGTTGGGATCCCCAATCATTGATTTTTAGTTTTGTGATCATTTTGACTCCAAGAGTTCAGTTGACATCCCAATCCCATGTTGTTCTTTGTATATCCTGTTGTAATCATCTCGATGCAGTGTATCGAACTAGTTTGATTGACAAAGAACTTTGAGACATTTCAATTAATCACCAAATAAGAATAGGTCCAATTGTGATAAGTAACCTTCATTCCTAGAGGCAATGTTCTATATACTTGGTGATCATACCAATCTGGATATCGATTCTCCAATTTTGAGTAAATCTGTAAACTTTTCCTTAATATGAAATTCAATTGAATAACTTCATTCTCCAGCTTAAACTACAAACCATCTGATTGATAGTGAATGCCTCTTAGAGTGTTGTATAAGGAATATTAATTTCACAAAGTCCAGTGAAATTGCATCAGATCAACAATTTGAATACTGTCATGAAGTTCTTAGAACACTTTTCCATACAGTTGTTATTATTCATTATAGTTCAATGCGATGGATCAAGATTGATCATTAAAAGAATCCCACTCCAAAACCATAAACAGCCCAGATGATGACATAATTGATTGTATCCCTTTTCATCAGCAACCAGCATTTGATCATTCTCTGCTCAAGAATAACACTATTCACACAGCTCCAAGTTATTATCCTCGAGGCATCTTTCCTGAAGACGTTCAATAAACCAAATCACTCAGTTATGGCAAGCAAAAGGGAGCTGCCTGAAAAGAACCATTCCGATAAGAACAAAAACAGATCAGGAAGTCATCAATAAGCAGGCAAAGAGGCGACATCAAGGATACGTGCACGATCATCACTGCCATGCTTGGTGGGTGAGTTATCAGAACATGCCATTTGGATATTGGCCGGATTTTTGGTTCACTAAACTAAAGGAAAGTGCTGATGAAATCCAATGGGGTGGAGAAGTGGTGAATCCAAAACCAAATGGCCAACACAACAACTCAAATGGGGACTGGTCATTTTGGTCATGATGAAGAATTTGGAGGATCAAGTGGTTTCTAGAATCTTAAGTGTTTGATGAATTGGTCAATTTGAAACCTGCTGGAGAAGATGATGAGATCCTGACTTTGGTTAACAGTGAAGCTGGCGGCTGCTACGACACTGCATTGTATAAGAAAGGAAATTATGGAGATCACTTTGACTAGGGTGGACCAGGAAGAATTCCCACTGTCCCTGATCGCTTGCAAAAAAAGGTGTCATCATGTGTTTCTGCATTTTAAAAACAATATTTATTTGATTATCAACTTGAATTTGAATATGATCATTAACTATGTTGTCCAAACAAATTGAATAATGTGGCATACTAGTTAGGAAAATGCATTTTGTTTATTGATATCCTCATGAGGCTTATGAAACACCTGAAAAGGCTGGATGTGTACAACCACTCTTGATGTACATGATTTTCACTTCGAATTTCAAAATGTTTTACATGTGTAAATTGGATCCCCTAATTGATAGTTTTGCGATCATTTTGACTCCTTGAGTTCCTTTAACATCCCCTATCCTATAATGTTCTATGTATATCCTGTTGTAATCACAATTCACTATAAAGCTTTAACGTTGTTTGATACTTTGATACATCAAACCTTAAAATAAGATGGGTCCAATCATGAAGAGACAAAGTAAACCACATTCCTAGAAATAATGATCTAAACAAAGCGAAATACTTTTTAACTCAACAACGGAAATTAGTGGTAATCGAAATACTTACAAAAAAAAAAAAGAAGAAGTAAAGATTCAACATTCATGATTTCTTTGATCCTTGTACAAGAAAGTAATCTCCTCTTCTTCATCCATCAATCTGGTCTCTTCCTCTTTTCTTAGAATTACAGCCACCATTCAAAAAATCTCTCGAAAACTTCAGAGCAGCAGACCGATCCATTTGAGCTTGTAGTTCCTTTTCTCTGAGCTGATCCAAAACAAGAGGCAGAGCCTTCACTGGATCACTCTTCAAGCACTTGATCACTTCATCACTGTTTTCCGGGAACGTTCTCTTAATCCTCATCGCTTTGATCCCTCCGAATTCGCGTTCGACGAATTCGACAACCTTCGAAATCGTGTTCTCTCGCAAGGCCTTTTCAACACAGGCAATCGTAGTCCTGAAATTGCACAACTTCTTCTCAATCTCCTCCACGCGACCGTCGATATCAACTGTACACAGCTCTTCCAGTTCTTGTTGGAATTTGTTCTCACCGTCGTCGAAATAACCCACGAATTTGTGCAACAAATCCGCGTGCCCGAAGAACAATTGCACCAGCTTTTGACAGAACGGCTCCATTAGTAACTTATGATCTCCGTACATAATCAGCGCGTCCAAGAACTCTGCGTAAGTTTCCGGATTGTCGCGGAATCTTTGCTCGACTTTGTTCAAAAACTTGTAGCATATTTGTCTCTGGTGATAGTCAAATTCGTGATGATTTCTTGTCAAAATCCGGGTTCTTTCGGGCTGTTGATCGGAATAAGGGCAGAAAAACTTGAACCCACGAAGTAAATCCTCGTGGCCATGGAACAAACTTTGTAAATTGAAGATTAGAGATTCTGGGGTGATTTTTTGTTGTTCGAAATCCTTAAGGGCATCAACAAATTGGTCGAACTTGTTGTTGTTGTAGTCTTGATTTGATTGATGAAAGGCTCGTTTTATTTGGGCGATGAAAGCTAATGCGTCGGCTCTAGTTGGGAATTTCTTCATGGGCTCGACGGAAGCCATGATTGATTGAAGAAATTGATAATGTGAAAGTGTTAATGGATCGTTTAGGTTGATTTCACAGGATTTATATAGCAAACGAAAGATGGCTGAATCAGGAAATTAATCCGAGTTCCGGTCGGCTTCCATCTCCGATATGGATTCAGAGAGGAAAGAGCACAGAACAAATTAGGAAAGTTTTGTTCTTCTTCTTTATTTTACTAGTATTTACTCTTACAAAATCGTTCTTTACAGTCAAATTATTTCTTTACTTTTTTAACATTCAACAACGAATGACTAAATATTATGATCATATATAACGGCCTTGCTAGCACTAACAGTGGGTATCTTTTTTTATAAAAAAAAAAAAATGTATTTCGCCTCCTACGTTTTACCAAAATAAATTAAAAAGATATTTTTTATGTTATTTACTACCTCCATTTCAAATTAACTGTCGCATTAGGGTATGCACAATAATTAAGAAAATAATGATTGAAACTTAAATTTAACAATACAATTTTTTTTTAACCCTCATTTAACCATCCAACTACTACACAATTATCTCATCTTCCAAAGAGTAATTGCCTTCTATTTGAATAATGCTTGTAATTAATGGAGGTAAGAGAAATGGTTAAAATTGAGAAAAATAAATTAAGTCAACATTGGAAAAAAACAACGACAGATAAAAAAGAAGGTATGAGTTTATCCTAATACGACAGGTAATATAAAATGGAGATAGTATGTATTAATTCTTTCTTTCTAACAAATCGAATTAAATGTATAATATAAATCTCAAAAATCATCGTGAACTATTTTTTTTGGGACTTGTAAGTATGTAATACCTTTAGAATACAATGCGGTACTTAACTATATATATATATATATATATATATGCCTCTAAGAGAGGTTTTGAATTCACACTAAGAACAGGCGTTTTTGCTATATGCATGATCGATGATACAGTTTCCGAACAATATTAACTGAAACGGCGAGACAAAAACATACTTTTCTTTTTCAATTTTTTTTCCTCTTTATTAGAATTATATTCTTCGAGATTCAAACTCAAGATCTGGAAATTTTTCATTAATGCAGCTTCTTCACCCATAGTAAAATAGACTTATCTTACCATAAAAAAATTTATGAATGAAACTATATTATCATGAGACAGATAGAGTAATAGTAATTGGAAAGCAAATCACTTACCATTTGTATTGAAACCTAAATCAAGCAATATTTAGTTACTCTAAACAGGTTTGCAGTAACTTGAACGGTTGAAACCATTATTAAGTAAATTAATTAACTCTGTAACATCACAAGGTTACATAAAAACACCTAAGAAAATTGTAACGTGGAGTATTTTTCTACAATGGAAGGAGGAAATAATTTCATATTTGACCGCCACAAATGCTGCCTTGAAGCCTTCTCAATTACTCAGATTTGCGGTTACTCATCAATTCACATGCACGCTATTATTATACACAATCAATTCATTTCATCAGTTTAATTTATTTTGATTATAAAACAGCTAGCCAACAATACTTTTCTCTATAAAATTATATGCATTTGGTTATATTGATTCGAAATTAAGTAGTGAGAAATAGAAAAAGTGAGACAAGAACAAAAGACTAGCCTTCTTGGAATACATCACTTATATCTTGTCTTCTTATACTTGCAATCACAGTCCTTTGGTCATTGAGGATCAATGAAGGCCGTAGGGATAATATTGCTCACTGCGGCAATTGTTTTCATGTCCTTTCATGAAGGTACAAATCTTTTTTTTTTCTTTTCCTTTTAACCCTTCATCAATTTCTAGTTTTTTTTTTCTTTTTTCGAATTTTTAAAGGTTCTTAAGCTTATGTGCATCATGTAAACAAGTTACAAGTGCTATTAGGTTCTTAAATGCTAGAATCTGTAATGTTTTTCCAAGTTAATTGTTAAAATTAATCTTCAATCCAAAATGATTTTTTCCCACTTCTAATTTCTGTCACTTATTAAATATTGATGATCATATGCAGGTGAAAGTTGCAGAGACACAGTGGTATGTAAGGCGGAAGAGATGACGAAGCCACCATTTGAGTGTAAGCAGCCACTTTGCGACCAATTTTGTGGAAGATTACACCCAAATGGATGGGGCAAATGTAAAAATCGTGACAAATTCATCTGTCAGTGTTTCTACGTTTGTCACAAATTAACGCGCTCTAGATGATCACCACAAAATTCCAAACAATCCAAATACACCTTCCAATTGACTACCAGTATTTAAAACTTTAGTTGATTTTACTATTTTACCTCCAAGGAGGATGATTTTTTTTAAAAAAAATTCCCCCTATTTCATGTTCTTCTGGATTGAGCAGAATTGTCGTTTTAGGTAAGTTTGTAACTGGAAGAGGCAATGTTTTTCTCTTCCTCAACTTTAATCGATTACTTTTTATTTGCTTCATTCCGATAAAGAGGGTTTTTTTTTTCTTTGAACGGATTGACTACAATAACGTGAGGGCGCTCGAAAGTGATACAATAGCAATTACTCTCTCAGTCCTTATTATAAGACATTTTAAGTTCGTCATAGGTTTCACCTAGAAAGTTTTTTTAATTGAAATAAAAACGTTAAAAATATTTCATAATAATTAGGAGAACATAACGAATGTAAAAATATATTTTTAAGGTTTTCTTTTCCAATTAAAAAAATATCCTAGATTAAACCTAGTACAAAATCAAAATGACTTATAATAAGGACCGGAGGGATTACTAATAATGTGATACAACAACAATTTAGAATTCAAGAATAAAATGAGAATTGGGTGTTTATTGAAAGCTCCCTTTCAGTTTTACTTTATTAAAGATGTTCCAATTCTCGGTTATCAAAGAAAAGAAAAGGGAAATCTCATTCTTTTCAGCTAAACTGTGATCTTTTGTTGCGTAAAATGAAAGTAATTAATCCAATAATCCTTACGAACGATGGTTTATCTGAAAACGGATATATGTTGGTTCAAACAACAGAATTAAAGACCATTAACATCTGAAGAATTTTCAGTTTGCCGTAAGGTCATCTTCAACGAAAACACCAAATTAATTTAGTGTTGTAGAGTAAATTTTTCATTCCAACGAAGATACTAAATCAATGTACTATTTTGGTGCAATGAATAGTGTTATTATTAAGACCATTTACTAATATAGCTACTTGAATTAAAAGAAGAGAAATCATTTACTAATATTGAGAACCACAGATCAAAAATTATAGATCAAGTGTTAGTTTTTGTACAAATATGCGCAACATTAAATTTATACGCGTACGTCTATAAAATGATAACAAAAATATTGTTTACTAACTATGAAACTGTACATTAACTGTTAGCTCGAATTTTCCTTTACTTGATGGTCAAACTGTAAAGAGATTCCAGCGGCAACATACTGATTTCTAGGGCCATATACATTTTCAATCCGCAGATATACCTAACTACCAAAAAAAAAAAAAAACACACATACACACACATCTGGTATCAATTCCAAAAAAGGATACACATATTTAATGCATCATTTCACAAGTAATCAGCAAGCAAAAGAAAAGTTAACAGTTTGAGACAGTTTTACATCATTTCAGCCCAAAGTAGCTAAATCTAAAAAAATCTCCTAGATTTCAATGAGAACTGAAAATCTAAGTACACCAGTTCCAAACAATCTTGAAGATTTTAGCAGTCACATAATTCGCCGTATTTTTTAATGCAAGTAAGTATCTTGGACTCGTGCATTTCAAACAGTACGATGAAACTTAAAATCATGTGTTGCAAATTGTAAGTCTCATCGGACTGAATAAAAGATTAAGGAATATTTACTTTTACATTCTTTATTATGACTTCGCATATTCTATATACTTTAACAAAAAGAATATATGATTACTACGATTTGATCAATTTTGAATGGAATGGTAAAGTGGAGAATTGTAAAAAATCTTATTGCGACTGGCGTGCAATTTTAAAAATAAAGAATAAAATGGTGGGTAAATTTTTAATGACAATATGATTTTCCCTTAGTTCCACTACATAAACTCCAATGCGTTTATATTATAATATTATAGTGATTTGGTTTATGCCCTCTATCAACCGTGAAAAAAAAAAATTATAACGATCCAATATTAGTTAGAGGGCATGCAAAAGTGTGAATCGGAAAAACTCTTTGATGAAAATCAAATTTTATGAACTTATAAAATCAATTGTTATATATATGCTACTACTTGGGGTCTTCCTCGACTTGCTGCGAAACTTGTCCCTCCTATTCTAGTATTTCCCATTTGTAGTTTATTATTTGGAGATTTATATTATAAAAAAACCGTATAAATCTGAAAATTTAATATAAATTATTTTTTTGGGTCAAAGATATACTGTATAATACAAGATCACTAGTATTAATCTCTATACTCCATAAGATCCCGCACCTCACCCCAAAGAAAATAAGAAGCTGTTGGCACTCAAGAAAATCATTTTCTAAGAAAAGAAACTATAGAAACTTAATACTAAATGTGATTTAATAAGTTATGAAGTAATCAACTGTGATGTCGACGGTGGAGCTCGCAGTGGGGGCAATTCTCCATCTCTGCACGTCTCACACGCTGTTAACTTATTATTAAAATTATCCGCACAATGACATTTGCCTGGTAAGACTGGAAGATTGAGATTCTAACCAACAGCTAATGCACACATTGGGCTTTTTCCCAAAAAAAATTAAATAAAATAAATGTGGATAAATTTAAATTTTTCAGAATATTTGTGGACAGAATTATATTGCTCGGATTTCTAAAATTCGAGTTTAGATTAAAATTAGAGATTCGGATTTTGCAAATCCGGATTCATACTTAATAATAAAATAATAATTTCATAAATTTTGTTGAATAATAGTTTTTTTAGTTCTTAAATGAACAGTAAAGCTCGTATTTGTAACATCCGAGTTTAGTTAAAAATTAATAAATCGCGGCGCGAAATTTTTGAATCCAAAAAACTGGAAGTCCGTAATCCGGTTTGACGAATTCGGATTTGCGAAATCCGGATGCCTTTAATTTTGGTTGGTGAAAGTAGGCATGTGTCTTAAATTGGAGGACCAAAAAATTAATAAAATAATCCTGAATTGACTAAATCCGGATTTATGAAATCCGAATCTAACGTAGTTCGGATTTCGAAAATCCGAGTTACTTACGGACTCGGATTTCGTAAATCCGAGTTTAACGTGCTATAAAAGAAAAAAAATTTCAGGCAGTTCTCAAACAAGGGCGAATTGAAGTTTTTGATGTATTCTTGCCTCTAGATACGTGGAAATCGTTATTTGAAAGAGGTTAGATTGCAAAACTATGTTATTTAGTTTATTTTTGTGTTATTTTGATTGTTAGAATGATGTATGATAGATTAGGGTTTATGTTGGTTGGTTGTTTGGATGTTTTAGGTGTTGATTTTGAGGTTAGAGATGAGAAATCATAGTTGTTCATGAGATATCGAAGTTGATTTATAAGTATTTTAGTATGGTGTATTTGTTGGAGTATGTATGGTGTATGGTGTATGGTGTATTTTAGAGAATGTATGCTGTATTTTGTTGATTTTGTTATTAAGAAATGATTAGTTATTGATGTTTTTTTTAACAGTCATCAATGGCACGTAATGTATCATACATGCTTAATTTGTATCATACAAGTAAGTATGTGATAGAGAACGGTAGCATCAACACTTTTTCGAATATGCCGGATGATGGTTTGTTTGTCGAAGAAAGGTTGTCATATGAGGGATTGATTAGTAAGATTTGTATGACCCTTGGTTGGGATCCAGCACACGTGAAACTCCACTTTTCTTTGATTTTCGATAGTCTCGGTGGTAGGCGTGTAGTGAAGATCAAGAATGATTCGCATGTAGAGTTCATGAACCGTGTAGATCCAATGTCATGTTTGGATTTATACATAGATTTGGAAGATATCACTCAAGAAGAAAGAGAAGCGAGTTTGGAAAACGTGTCATTTGGTGATTTTCGAAGGGGGGAACGTGCTAGTACTTCTCGAAACCGTGATGAAGAGGAGACACCTTTATTTGCACAAAACGACTACCGGGAAGAGTCGGATTCCGACTACATAGCTCCAAGTGAAAGCGAAGAAGACTGTGATGTCTCCGGAGAGAGTGATTTTGAAGAAAGTGATGATGAAAGGTTGGAAAATGAGGAAAGGGATTGTAATCTATTCGCCCGACGCCATATATATAGTAAGATGGGGAACTGGGATGCCTCATGTGTAGACAAGGATGAGTTTGCTCTTAAGATGTGGGATGAGACGCCCGAAGGAATAGACATTGGTGTTTGTTTCAAATCTCAATCAGAAGCAAAGCATGTTGTGAAATTATGGAATATCCATCATAAAAGGGAATATACGGTCGCCGCGAGTAGTCCAAGGACGTGGGCTGTGCGGTGCAGAACATTTAATGTGGAAAGTGAGGATGGTGAACCGCCATGTGAGTGGAAGATGCGTGTGTCATTGAAAGCTCACGGCCTTCATGAAATTGTGAGATGGCATGATGCACATAATTGCATGACTCCTGTGAATGATAATGACAATCGGTGTGTAGACGCGTCTTTGATTGCTAGACTCATCAGGAGAAAGGTTGAGGACAACGTAGATTATACGGTAGCCTCGACACAGAAAGATGTGAAGACCTTATTGAAAGTAGATGTGCCATACAAAAGGGCGTGGCAAGGGAGGAGGAAAGCCATAGAAGCGGTCTATGGTGATTGGACCTCCAATTTCGAAGAACTTCCACGGTAAATATCAACTTTTATCCGTGTATTGAAATATTTATAGTATTTTTATTTTTAAATGTATTGAAATATTTTAACAATGACTTGTTGCTGTTTAGGTATATCGCTGCGCTTAAGTTTACTAATCCTGAGACTGTAGTTGAGTGGGAATGGAAGGAGGGACAAGAAGGTTGGAACAGGGGAAACCGGACATTTAAATACGTCTTCTGGTCATTTGCACCGGTGGCTGAGACGTTTTTTGAATGTCCACCGGTCATTTGTATCGATGGAACCTTTTTGCGTGGTGGATACAAGGGTAAATTGCTTGTTGCGGTGGTGTATACCGCAAACAAGCACATTTTACCGGTTGCATTTGCGATTGTTGATGAGGAGACAGTAGAGAGTTGGACATTTTTTATGAGGAATTTGAGGTTGTGGGTTATGTATGATAGAATCGTAAGTGTGATATCCGACCGGAATGCAGGGTTGTTGAGCGCAATGTCACAGATGGATGAATGGCGTGATTTAGGTGATGGTGGGCACTTTCTTTGCCTCCGCCACGTTCGCAGCAATCTTGTGTCGCGATATAATAGCAAAAAGGTGAAGCAGTTATGTTGGAAGATGGGAACGACGCTTTCAAGAGTGAAATACAACCGTATGAGGGCAGAGCTTATTGAATTCAAACCTGCTGCATGGGAGTATCTTCGAGGGATTTGGGGGAGTAACTGGGCTCGATTGAAAGCCGGTCTTCGCCGTTGGGGCATAGCGACAACTAATATTTCTGAGAGTTACAACAATGCATTGAAAGGGATCTGTTTTTTACCAATTAGAGCCTTGATCGATGCAACCTTTTGCAAAACTGTTAAATTCTATAGAGAAGAACAATTGTCTGCGAGAAATTGCATGACACCGATCCCTCCTGAGTTATGGAAAAAATACGAGAAAATGAATGATAAAGCAGCCAGTTTTGAAGCCACCCCTTTCGATGGTGATGATGCTATGTGGCGTGTTGTTACTGCCACACGCCTAAGTGGCAGGGGTGGGTCTCTGCATACGGTGAACTATGATGAACATAGGTGTTCGTGCAGGAAGTGGCAAGAGTACCGGATGCCTTGTACGCATCCACTCCAAGTTTGTCGGAGAAAAGGGTATCGGCCTATTGATCTATACCATAGTGTGTGGCGCCTTCCAACGTGGCGCAGACAATTTCATTATACGGGCTTTGTTCCGGTTCCCGATGAGGAACAATGGCCGATGGTCAATTGGAACATCATTCCGAATTATGAGCGTCTTGTGTTGCATGCGGGACCGGGACGAAGACAAAAAAGGAGACATAGAATGCAAATGGATTACAGGGGACGCCGGAGCCGGGGGGAATGTTGGAGATGTGGACAACTAGGTCATGATGCCAATTCTTGTCCGTTCTCGCACCCAGGAGTAGATAGAAGACCTGTGAATGACAGCTGGAATTGAGTGTAATTTACTGTTCTTGCAAGTTATCTAGTGTTTGATAAATTTATGTGAACATTGAAAAATTCGGATTGCAATGTGAACATTGAATTTTTCGGATTGTAAAGTGTGATGAAATATGTACTATTTTTCATAATAGTACATCGGATTGTGCAAAATACTCATCATTGTAAGGTTTTGTAAGGGATTTGGATTTCAGAAATCCGAGCTCAGAGTTTTTTTTTGAAATTGCAAAGGACTCGGATGTCCGAAATCCGAATGGGTGAAACCCATCCGAGAGTTGCAATTTGAGGAGAAACAGGGGAGATTCGGATTTTATAAATCCGAGCTCAGAGATTTCCTCGAATTTGCTAAGGACTCGGATTTCAGAAATCCGTGTTTGTGAAACCATCCGAGAGTCGAAATTTGAGGGAAACAGTAAAGACTCGGATTTAGCAAATCCGAGTTTGACGGGACTATATATTGTTCGATCAACTCTTCCCTTCCCATTTTTCCCCCAATTCCAGAATTAAAAAACCCTAAAACTAAACTCCAATTAAACAAAAATCCGGCGACTCCCACCACTCAATCCGGCGACTCCCTCCACTCCCTCCGTGATTTCCGGCGACCCTCTTGCATTCCGGCGACTCCATTTCCAGATTCCGGCGTCTCTCCTCCCTCTGGACAATCTGGCGTCTCTCCTCCCTCTGGATAATCCGGCGAGGTTCCTTGCAATCCCGCGACTCCCTCCGACTCTCTCCACCTCCGGCGACTTCCTCCACTCCTCCCGACTTCCTCCATTCCTCACTGTAAGTTATTGATTCGCGATCCTCTCTTTATTTTTTTTTGTCAAAATTTTTTTTTTCTTTGTGAAATCCGAGTCCTTTTTTTTTTTGAATTGTGGTTGGTTTGTGTTGATATAGTGTTTGTGTTGAATTTAAGTTGTGTGTATTGTGAATTGCTTATAGATGTGGTGTTGATATAGTGTTTGTGTTAGATTATCGTTGTGTAAATAGTGAATTATGAATGTATATAGTAGTTTGGTAGTTTTGTTTATTTGGCCGAATGTTTATGGTTTGGTTGATTTGTTTTTTTTGGCCGAGTGTACATCGTTTGATAGTTTTGTTATTTGGGAGAATGTATATAGTTTGGTAGTCTTGTTTATTTGGCCGAATGTTTATGGTTTGGTTGATTTGTTTTTTTTGGCCGAGTGTACATCGTTTGGTAGTTTTGTTATTTGGCCGAATGTATATGGTTTGGTAGTATTGTTTATTTGGCCGAATGTTTATGGTTTGCTAGTATTGTTTATTTGGCCGAATGTTTATGGTTTGGTTGATTTGATTTTTTTTTGGTTACCTTGTGTAGGATTGAAATGGCGACGCCGGCATCGGGCTCCCAATATGACTATCAACCTAAACATCTTCACCCAGGACCTATACAAGATAAAATGCTATATCATCAAACAAAGCATAGGTCCCAAGCTGTCTATGAGAACAGGATACCGGACATTAAAACATTCCGCCTCAAGGGCCGTAGGTACGACAACGATTTGTGGGCGTTATATAAAAATACGGCACCGGAGATTAAGGAAGTCATTAGGAGAGCCGGTTTTGAGGGGATCATGAAGGTAGGGTACAAAAGAGTTGATCTAGGCCTCATTACCGCGTTGGTGGAACGGTGGAGGCCAGAAACCCACACTTTCCATTTTAATTTCGGAGAGGCGACGGTGACGCTACAGGACGTCGAGGTCCTGTTTGGTATTCGGGTGGATGGTGACCCGGTGTACTGCACGACAGTTAGCCGGACTGCAGATGAATGGAGGGATCGATGTGAGGCTTATTTGGGATTCCGGCCGGCGACTGTAAATGGCTAATGTGTCAATGTTGGTATTTTCGAAGATGAGATGGGCCGTGCACTACCTGAAAATTCCACTGTCCATCGATTCGAGCAAAGGGCCAAGACACTTATACTGCATTTTATTAGCAGTTTCATGTTTCCAAACAAGACGCAGAACACTGTCAATCTACAGTTCTTGGCCCAGGTTGAGGATTTGGATCAGTGTAGTCGATACAGTTGAGGATCGGCACTGCTGGCTGGGTTGTACTCTGGCCTATGCGAGGCATCACAGTATACCATGCACGACGCCACTGGGTGTCTATATTTGCTACAGGTACGTATTAGTTTTCATTTTGTGCTTTAATTATTTTGCGCTTTCGACGTTATAATTTGAAGTTTTTACATTATTATTGCAATTTACTAGGTATGGGCGTATGAGCGGATCGAGAGGATCGCGCCCCAAAGAAAAGGAGTAGATTATTTGCTTGATGAGACCGCTCCATTAGCTCAGCGGTACGTATTTTCAGTTCAAAATAACTCAACGTTTAATTCTATTTGTTTCTTATTCATTTATTTCACTAATTCAAATGTACCCCTTTGTTTATTAAGGTGGGAATGTAGGTACACGTACGGCGATGCCCCAAGGAGCAGCACTCCACCTTTTAGAGATCAATTAACAAGTCTGCGTGTTGAAGATGTAAGTACTTGTAATTTGGTATTTATATTTACTTTGAGATCAATTACCCCTTTCTTTTGGTTTCGGTTGTACCATCTAATGAAATTTTTTTCGTGCAGTTTTGGTGGCAACCATATGCACATATCCTTCATAGACTCCCTGATTTCTGTACACAAGACCAAGCCATTTGGACGACTAGGTGTTGGATGTTCTGTTGGGCTATTAGGGAACCCCACGAGTCGGGCAGAGTCGTGAGACAATTTGGATACATACAGGATGTTCCCAAGCGCCCCATGATTAAAGATAACGCAGCATTCCTTCTCGATCACGCGCACAGTATGTCTGTGTATCCTAGCAATAATTGGGAGGATCACCATTCCGCAGTACGCCGTCATTGGAATAGGAGAGAAGAGTTCGTGCTACGAGATTTGGAGGAAGGAGATCCTGGTTCCGTATATGAGGGGTACTATGAATGGTTAATGGTGAACACTGTCAGATTGATATCCAATCCCGGTAATTATGAACCTCAAGGATACGAGACTTCTTCGAGCCGCGTGAAATTATATGTGAGTTAATTGTAGATTTCTTTTATTATTTCTTATGTTTTCATTTTTTTTTTCATTTTTTTTTTTAGAACTTTACTCTCTTAATTAACGTCCCAATTTCTTTTCAGGGTGAAGTATTGAACAACATTCGCGTGAGTACCGAGAGGTTTAGAGAAAAACGAGAAGATGATAATCTCCTGGACGAAGAACTTGACAAGCATTTGGACGATATCATCAATCAAACACATGCTGCTTTAACCTTGGGCGCAAATGATGAGATGGAGGTGGATGATACCCAAATCCTGGTTGATGAAGATCCATTTTTGTCCTCACAACCTCCGCCGGGTAAAAAAGCGAAACCGTGGTCAAGAGATAAGATTGGAGGAGGAAGAAAGAGAAAGGTCACAATCCTCCCTCGGACATCGTAACAACAAACTGAGGGTCAACAAAATGAGGATCAAGCACATTCCTCTCGAGGCTCGCGCATCCAGGTCGAGACTCATTTTGAAGAAGCTGGTGGACCCGAGACTCAGTTTGACATTGGTGGACCCGAGACTCAGTTTGACATTGGTGGACCTGAGACTCAGTTTGGTGGACAGTCGCAACCACAACCGGGAGTCAAATTTATCACCATGGGGGAGTCCCAATCTCAACCCCAAATCGAGGCTCAGTTTGGTGGACAGTCGCAACCACACCAAAGTTCAATACTCACGTATCTTAAGAGGGGAGACAGGATCCGACAGGGCCCAAACAAATACACTCCGGATGCGCACAATAAAGGAAAAGGGAAAAAATGAGACATTTCATTATTTTGGACATTTATAGTAGTTTTTGTATTGAACTTTTTATGAAACTTGATTTATTTTGTTGTTAATCGAATGCCGTTTATTGTTTTGTTGTTATTAAATTCCTGTTTTCCAATGTTTCATTGTTGTTGGTGCTGTAAACATGTTTAGGACTGGTGAAAATCAGTCCAATTTCTTTTTTCAGTTCTGACAAAGACTCGGATTTGCGAAATCCGAACCCAGACTTTTTGTAAAGGATTCGGATTTCAGAAATCCGAGTCCGTGGCCAACTGGGAGTCACCATTTTTCAGAAAACAGAGCAGATTCGGATTTCGGTAATCCGAGTTCTGCCCAAATTTAATTTTTCAACACATTATTTTTTCTCTATCCGAAAATTAATATTTTATTCATAAAAACGGATTTATAAAATCCGGATTTAGATTAATTACACTAATTTTTGTCATTAACTTAATATTGGATTTACGTAACACAAAGTCGGATTTTAATAATCCGAGTTGATTTGGGGTCGGATTTCCGAAATCCGAGTTTTGCCCCCAATCGGATTTCCTAAATCCGGGGCATATAAATTTGTCCACAAGATTTTAAAAAGCTTTATTTTTGTCCAGGTTTTTTTTTTCATATATATTTAAGGAAAAAATTCCACCCACTGAGAGCATCTTTAATATTGTATAGTAAATAAATTATCATGGTATTACTGTGTTTATTGTTATATGAAATATGATAAATTGTAACGGTATAAGAATTCTTATACTATGTAATACATGATTTTGTAGGACATCATGCAATTAATGTAAGTTAAGTTGTTCAATACTTTTTCTATTAAAAAAAATAGCTAAAGTATGGATTATATAAGAATTCTTATACTATGTAATACATGATTTTGTAGGACATCATGCAATTAATGTAAGTTAAGTTGTTCAATACTTTTTCTATAAAAAAAAATAGCTAAAGTATGGATTATATATTATGATCATTTAGTGGTGATTTAATTATATTAATAATTAATTAATATTAAATCTTTTAGGATAGAAACCAAAATAGGCAAAAATTTCATAAAAGTATAATATTACAAAATGTTAACATGGGATTTTGTTATACTACAATAGTGTATACCTTGTGAATGTTCTAATCCAAGACTAAAGAATACTTAATTGAGAATTCTCAGAAGAATTTACAGCAGTAGTAAATACATTTGTTTCTTTATTTCTATATCTGCACACAAAGTGCACTTCATTATTAATGTTCATGACTGTGAAACTTTTGCCAAGCCCTTCAAGCTAAGAGCATCTTCCTCATAAAGCTATTAGCAATTTCAATTGCCTCGACGCCACCGTACCAAAAGAAATAATAATAATAACAACTAGGTTCTCAACCCGTGCATTTGCACTGGTACAAAATTAGGCCAAAAAAAAAATCTTTGGACATACGCAATTTGCAAAAAGATCGAACTTGTTATGTTGCCTCATCAAAATCACATAAATGGTTCATTAAAATTATAATATACAATACCAAGCCAAAAAAAAGTTATATGCAATAGCTAAAATGACTTTGATCATAAATATATGCATATATAGTATTCGATATTATTGTTGTGCCTTCTTATCTTGAACGTGTTTGCATCTCAAACTATTGGTGTTCAAATAAATTGGGCACAATAATATTGTTGTTGAACTTGCAAATTATTTCAAGTACCTGTCACAACTGCCTTTTTTGCCTTTGTCTTAAGGCTTTTAGCAAGTCACTCTAAGTGATTTTAAGTACTGCAAATGCCTTAAAATGACTTAAGGCTCCCATAGAATTATGGCTTTCAGCAACCCAAAAAAATTATTTTTTAAAAAAAATAAATAAATAAAACAAAGCTAGTGGAACCAAATGGACTTATTTTATGAATTAAAGGGAAAAAAAATTTAGAACTTATGAACTAAAACACACATATATTGACTGATTGAGAGAACACTGAACTCACATGTTCATATCAATATGCCAATAAGTCATGAACATAATTGTTTTAACTTAGACAGTAACTTTCTCTTGCAATCATCGAAGTATAAGCTAAAGTTTAGAATTGTTTCAACTTAGACAAAACTTAGAAACTTACAATCGATCTCTGCTAACTCCTTGCTTTTGATTCAAATGAAACAAAACTTGGAACCATGAAACTTTCATCATGGCCGTGGAAAGATAGTGGACAAGGTTGACAACAGAGAAACAAGTTAACTTTGTCGATCTGCTCGTATATATATGCCGCATCTTCTTTGGAATCTAACTCCGCCATCTTTGTCTAATATCTGTAATCAGACATAAAAGAAAGTCTTAATATATTTGAAAAGAAAAGGAAATCAAACATAAACGTAGTAAAAAAAAAAAAAAAGATATAAATGTAAAAGTAAGAAAGAGCTAGATTCAACGCCTGTCATCGTGTTATAGAGTACCGGGATTGAATTCGTTTTGCCAGCGACTTTGTATTTTCATGCTGCATCTTCTGTGTTAAATCTTAATTCTCAAACTTTGTTGAGATTGGTGATGGATTCGGAGATGGTGGTGGAGCTTATAATGGGTTGAGGTTGAGATTACTCACGGAAGTTTTTATCTTTGGGAAAAACTGTATTTATATCGTGAGTGTTAGTTGGTTAGGATGTTAAATGATAATGACAATGAGAAATTATTTTTAGAACTGTTTTAATTTTTATAATAATTACTTAAACGTGTAAATTTAATGAAAGATTTGGCTTGGAACTAATTTTAAGGATTGAATGACACTTAGACTTTTGGAATGAAGTGGTTATTTTTATAATGGGGTTTATAGAAGATTAAGAGCAAAGTAACAATTCAATAATTTCTTGATTATTTATAGTAGAGTTTCATTAAACTTATAATTATAATTATATAATACTCCCTCAATTTCAAAGTATATACCATATTAGAATTTTTAAAATTTTTGTAAAATATATGCTTTTTTTAATTATCAAGGTAACTTTTATCATATTTTTTAAATGTTATCCCTGAATAGTATTTAAAATGAGATTGTATTTCAATCACATTCTTTAATGTTTCATTAGTTAGTATTGCTGAAATTGATCCAAAAAAGGAAAAACATGTACAGTAAAACCTCTTTACACTAATTGTCTATTAATTAACAACAAGTAATATTTTCTTCTGGTGGGACCAATACAAAAATAGAAAATCTCAATTAATTTTTAAGATAATAATTTTTCAAGAATCTCTTATTTAAATATAGGTCTCATAATTTAATAAACAGATAATACCTAGAATAAAACAATAGATTTGAACATTAACATATATTTTAATTTAATTATTTTTTGATATCTGCAATTATCATCATTTTTCTCCATTAAAAAAATATATAATAATGTAGATAGGGTTTCAACTGATGTAAAAATAATAAATTTTTATATTTTTTATTAATAATATTAAAAAAAGCTCTTTAATTTTAAAAATTATTAATTTATCAATAAATTAAAACTTAATTAATAAATTATTTACTTTATAAATTAATAATTTTTGGGGACCAATATATATTAATTTATAGAAGTTTCTCTGTATTTTGAAATGTGGAGAGTAACTTTTTTCAATCTCAACTTGTGACCCACGAAATATTTAAAAATTGATAAAATAATAAATACGATTTTTTTTATTTAAAAAAATCCTTATATGATAAGTACTGTCAATGTCGCAAATTAATAATTACATGAGAAACACAAAAAACTAAAAATTCGGTAGAAAGAATATAAGTTTGTCGATGTTTTCTTTTCTTTTTTTTATTGAAAATTTTTATCTAAGCAGATTCCATCTCGAATTCATATTGAGAAAAGGGAAACTGCGTCCCTAAAAAACAATTCTTTAAAATAATTAATAACTCAATAATCAATGGATAAACTAATATATCTGTAAATGAAGAAAATTTGGCATTAATGCAAATTGATTAATTAATTAATGAAAGAAAAAGGGAAGAATAATGCGCTTAGAAAACAAGGTTAAAAGGATGGCATTTCCCGAAAATGGTTAAAAAGGAAGAATTCACATCAAAGGGGGAACAGATCACTTGCAGGAAGAAGACATGAAACTTTCACTATTCACTGTGAGTAACCTACAAAAGGTTGAGCTATAATTTGTCAGTAGAAATGATGACAAAAATAGCTTCCAATGGATTCACAATCAAACTAAAGAATATGATCAATCAATCAATGGACCAATCATCCCTTTACACAAAAATTGCAGGGAAGGGAGGAGGCAGGAGCTAAAAATTGCCCAGATTCACAGGCAATTAAATCAATCAGGGAGGCAAAAGAAGAAGAAAAAAGAAAAAAGAGAAGAAACAATAAACAATCAGGTCAAAGGGAAAGATCTAACTCCGACAGATGTACAAACTTCACAGAGAGATGGAACAGAGGTCATCGAAAACTTGTCTGATATTGGGTCTTTCATTTACAGGAAGGATGCATCTTAATGATATGGCGAGCAGATCGTCCATTGCTTTTGAATGCTCTTCTCCTGCAGCAATGTCTTTATCAATACAGTCCATTCCTCGACCTTCTTGGTCACAAAGTCGAACCCAGTCTGTTAGATCAACTGCTCCTGATTGACCTGATATGATGTCACCAGCACTTCTTCTCGTCAACAATTCCATGAGAATCACACCGAGCGCATAAACATCAGCCTTAAATGAAGGTATAGGCTTTGATGCACTCGCAAGCTCTGGGGCACGATATCCCAGGGCCCCTAGGTTCAGTATCTGCTCAGCAATACCTGCTGGAGTCATCAGGCGGTGAAGACAATAATCTGTCAGGCGAGCATCATAGTTAGAGCCTTCCAAAATAACATTCGTTGGCTTCAAGTTTCCATGAGGCATTCCTCTGTCATGAAGATACATCAGACATCTTGCAACATCAACAGCAACCTTCACCCGCTGACTGAATGATAGCGGAGAATACCTCCTAGGTGTTGTTTCTGCAAAATGTCAGGTACATCAGCATAATATTAAAAGCACACTCATCAAATGATTAACACCACATGCTAATCAAAATCTAACTATTAAAGTTAAATTCAGACAATTAAAAGAAAAGCAACAGGTAGCAAATTTAGCAGAAGGCAAGCAACACATTTGGAGAATTACAGCTGCAGGACAGTAAGTCACACAACCATTTCGAAAAGCAAAGACAACATAGTAGTTTCAAGTTGTCTAATCTTTCAATAATCTCAACCAATGCTAGATCTACATTAATAGACATGTTGACAACACAGCAGCAAATGAATCCACTTACACAGTTCCAGTAAAGCAATTAATGAAAGAACTTCAACTGGGACATGCCAGACAGGAAAAGGGATGCACGGACACATTAGTCATTCATGAACCAAATACACAATGCAAGAGAGGAAATATATACGAGCATATTGAAGAATCTTACCATAAAGATGTAGCGCTAAGCTATCTCCATGTATGTAATCTGCTAAGACAAGTCTCTCCTGTTCCCTAGGCCCCCAGTAATAAGCTCTCAAAGAAACAACATTCGGATGCTTCAACGACCCAATCTTTTTAACCTCTTTTGCAAAATCTTTCTTATTTTTGACCAATCCTACTCGCAACCATTTTACTGTCAGCATATGACCATTGGCGAGCGTAGCTTTATATAGTGTGCCATGGCTGCTTCTACCAAGAACCTCTGCAGGAGCCCGAGACAACTCCTCAGCTGTGAATGTAATGGAAGCATCAAGAAAAAACAGTTCTCCTGCTAATCGATCAGGGGAATACACATCCAGTGTGACAGGTTGCTCCAATGTGTCAATAAAGCGGGGTGAGGAAGCTATTGGGGAACCTGGAGGAGACTTCCTATCAGATACTACAGTATGAGTATCCCGAATGTTGGTATTCATAGAAGCCAACCCCTCAGCCAAACCATGCTCCACAATTTCAGTACCTGAGTCAAAAGGGCCTGATAAGGATTTTGAGTTTGAAGGGAGCAAGTGATCATGAGAAAAGCTTAAATTTGTTGGAGGGGGCTCCTGTGCATGGAATTTGAAAAGTGACGGTCGTGAGAATCTTCCCAGCCTAACATCCCGGCCAGCAGCTTGGCTACTAAATCCACTTTGGGAGTGGAAGTTGCGAGCTCGGTAATATGCCAGTAACACGCAAGCAATCATGACAGCAGCTACAGTTGAGGAAACAATAATAGCTATTTTTACATTAGACTTTGAGCTGTGACGTCCTCCACCATTGATGCCATTGGGGACATGAGGATTCTGAGATGATGCTCCTGGGGCGCCAGATAGCAAGTCGTTTCCAGGATGGAACGACGAATATGGAAAATGCTTCAAATTGTCTGGTACTGAGCCTTCTAGAGCATTGTTGGACACGTTGAATACTTGAAGACTGGATGAAAGCTTATTTGGAATATTACCCTTGAGATTGTTATTGGAAAGATCAAGGTACTCCAGCCCACTGAGTTTATCCAATTCATCGGGCAGCTTTCCAGATAATTGATTCCTTGCAAGGTTGAGTAGTTTAAGTCTCCCGAGGTTACCAACATCAGACGGTAGGTTTCCCGTCAAATAATTATCTGAAAGATCAAGGGACTCCAATGGAGGATAAGGAGAAAGTACCAATAATTCACTCGCACGAGAACCATCAATTGGAATTGTTCCATTCAAATGATTTCTAGACAAATTCAAGCTCACCAAGGACTTAGAAGTAAAGAGAGATCCAGGAATCTGCCCACCAAAGTCATTAGAACTAAGATCAAGGGTAGTGAGTTTGGGATAGTTTCCAAGTACTTCGGGAACATTTCCTGCTAAAGAATTGTTTCTAACATTTAGCAATGTCAATCCCTGAAACTGTGTCACGTTGGGAATACTTCCACTAAGAGAATTCGAACTCAAATCCAAAATTTCCAGTTTGTCTCCCCAATTCTTCATTGCTTCGATGTCACCAGATAGCATGTTTCTACTTAAGTCAACCACATGACAATCTCCAAAAGAAGGTGGAAGTGAACCAGAGAATAAATTTGATGAAAGATTCAAAGTAGTCAATGTTGTTGAGTTTATTTCTGGAATAGAACCTGTCAGTTTGAACAAAACCTTTAGATCAAGTGAAAAATGCTGTAATCGAGAAGTGTAGGAAACTAATCACAAATACCAAAATTCTCTAAATGTCCTGTTTATGGCTATATCAAATACACATGTTCCGCAAAGAAATTAACGATGAATACAGAATCATTTGAAGACATAGATTTTCACAAAGTTTCTTGGGGTCTTTTTGGGTTTCTCAACCTCAACAATGTGTGAAATGCTGACAAAGAGATCACGTCAAAACAAGTAAAAAGAAATTCAAAGATGGTCTAGCTAATACAAAATGTTAAAACATCATTAACCTAACTCCTTCCTTTTGGCTAATGATGAGAAGTTCTTTAGCAATACAACCACACTAATACATGAGCTTTCACAGGAACTAAACTCCCAAATACTTCCGAAATCTTGTGTTTTGTATTTGATTTCCATCATTTTCAAAATATAAGAAGCACTCTGATCTTTTCTTCAGGTACACAAAAGTTTCTTGTATCGAATATTCAAATCTACGATGAACATAATACATTCACCATATATTGCTCACAAATCAATAACATACAAGTACGAGTATCTGGCAAACAAGCACCGATGAGAACAAATAAGCTGGTTCCTAAGAGATAATCACTTACTATCCAATGGGAACAGATAAGCTGGTTCCTGAGCAATGGTTATTTAGTATCCATATTTAAAATGTCTTTTATGAATATTCAATGCAGCCAATGGCATAAATAAAAAGGTTACATCTATCAAAACGCTATCTAAAGGCCATTTTATCCAATTATCAAGTGACACGCAATTATACCTCTCAGAGAATACAAATTATCACTTTGGCTCTTTCTCAAAACGGAATGATTTGTAACTGTCAATCTATTGAGCAACTAGACTTTCACGTCAGACCAGAAATAAGCATAAAGTGGAAAATATTCAACGTTCCATTGTTTGACAGAAACGTGCCAGTACTAGCGGAAAACATGCTAAAGAATACCAGTGAATCTTCTAACCGTTAAACTAAGTACTCCCAACACAAATGGGATACACATAAGCATAGACTTCCAATGTCAAATTCTACACTACAATCAAACATAGTACTCATTACCAGCACTTCAAGGTAAACAAAAGTCATAAAGATTCTAACAAAATCAATCAGCATTTTGTCGATTCCAAAGACCGCAAGCAAATCGGGGAGTTAGAAATTAAAAAATTCAAAGTCCATGAAATGCAACACTGTAACTATCACAAGCGATTTCCTCACCAGAAAATTGATTGCCACTAAGATCCAATTCCTCCAAAGGGACTTGCCCCTGTAAGAATTCCACGGGTATCTGTCCTTGAAACTGATTACCTCCCAATTTGAAAACTTGAAGCCGAGGCAATGCACCCACAGATGGAAGTTCCCCATCAATTTCATTGTCTCCCAGGTCTAAAACCCTTAAATTCCTGAATAGCATCATTGCATCTGCTCCAAAAAACCCACCTACCAATTTATTTCCGCTTAAATTAAGATACTCCGCCGTGTTAGCCAAGGCAGACACGTTGTCCGCACTCAACGTCAGTGACCCAGCGAACAAATTACCACTCAAATCAACATGCTCCACATTCCTGAGCACTGAAAGAAACACCTGAATATCCCCATTGAGAGAATTCCCATGCAAATCAAGAACTTTCAGCTGATTCAAATTATAAGTAATGCCTGGGTACCATCCAGTAAAATTATTCCTTGACAAATTGAGATAATTCAACCCCCAGAGATCGTTAATTCGGTCCGGAATTGGCCCGTAGAACTGATTATTGGAGAGATCTAACCGTTGGAGAGAAGTCATAGCTCCCAGTGAAGGAACAAGTCGGCCAGTGAAGGAGTTGTCAGAAAGAGTGAGGTTGAGCAAGTACTTAAGCGGCAGAAGTGTACCGAACTTGAGCTCGCCGGAGAGGCCGAGGCCGTCGAGCTGAATGGCGGTCACGGCGTTGGAAAACGGGTCGCAAGAAACTCCGAAGAAGGCAGGACAAGTGGCGTTGCCGGAGGAGGAGCCGCCAACGGACGGATCTGGAACCGCCGAAGACCTCTTCCATGAGCCGAAAATTCTCCCCAATGGGTCTGATTTAATCCCTTTCCTGAACTCCAGCAATGCGTCAATTTCCTCGTCGGAAGTGGCGGAGGAGCCGCGGCGGAGTAAGAGTAGGAAGAAGAGGAGGAATGTAGTTCGTACGGAGTGAGTGAGACCCATTTATAAAAAAAAAAGCTTCAAGACGAATGTGGGAGCAAGTGGGCAAGTAGAATTACGAGTTAGGCATTGACAAGCAGGGGTTCGTCGCCGGCGACGGTGGCCGTAATGGTGGTGGTGGTGGAGGGAAAGAGAAAAAGGGGAAAAAAGAGGAGGGAAGAAAGAGTATTAGGGTTTTTATATATGGGAAGTGAGGGGGGGAAGTTGTGCTGTCTGTCTGCTGCTACAGCTCTGAGTTTGTGTTCTGTGTGCTCACTGTGTGACTATGTGAGAGAGAAAATAGAGGGAATGTGTAATAGAAATGGGGGAAATGGGAATATGGGATGGAGAAAGTTGTCAAACAAAAACACAAAAAAGTGTTGAAAATAAAATTTAAAATAAAAAAAAAAACGGTGGGATTATACATGATTAATTTAAACTATCTTGTACTATATGGAAATGAGTTGGCTAATTTGAGAAATTCCGTGTCTGAATGTGTTTAGAAAAATGGAATGTACTGTATTAAAAAGAAATCTTTTACAAAATATATGTTCAGGTTAGGAATTATTGTAAACCAGTCAACTAAATATGAATGGGGGTCCAAAGTCCAAACATAGATCACAAATTCCATCTAAATGTGATTTAAGTGTGATTGCTGAGTCCACCAGGAAATCAGTTTTCTCGATTTCATATATATCAGGTAAAATTTAGAAACTTAAATCGACACTAATATATTTATCAACGAGGCAATAACGTATTTTTAAGGATTACAAAACTGGCTTTGATCTTTGATGTTGAAAAGGAATCCACTTACCATTAGACTAGGTCTTATTTCCAGACAGGGAAGTTTGAGTTTGTGTCAATTAATGAATGAAACTGGAGAGGAAAAAATAGAGCAATGAGGAGTTCTGGTGGTGTGTAGATTTGATGATTGTGTTTTGTGGAAGTAGGAATGATGTTCAACTTTGGTCTTTTATTGTGATTTGATGCCTATGTTTTTTTTTTTTTTCCCTTTTGTTTTTGGGACAAAGATTTAGGAAGGTTTTTAGTGTCAGTGGAGACAATGAATGAGGAGACATAAGACCTTTTTGTTTTCTCCAAAAAAAATGTGTATGAATAATGCTATCTCAAAAATCAAAAGCTTATCTCGATATGTTTTGAGTTCGTCTCTACATTTTTTTCTTTTAGTCTTTGATGAATATAGTTTAACGCTAAATTGCAAATCCCATACATATTTATTACTATTATTCTTGTAACTTTTTCCATACTACATTGTACTGTACATTTCTTTCCTGCGTAAAGGGAAATAAATGGATTAAATATACACTTCAATGATTTAAATCATTTTTTTTGGTATATTACAAGAGTGCTCTCCGCGAATAATAACGGCGATGGCTAATTCTTTTATTGATTTATAAACATCTTAGTACATAAAATAGTTGATAAATAATTTGAGATTATTTTGTGTTCAAAACAGGATTCGAAAAAATATACCGATTGTTCAATCACATTTCTAAACTTAAACCTTTGAATTACTCAAGTATATGTAATCCTATGACCATATTGTTATTGAATATATACACACTACTATCTAAAAGGATTATGATTGAATAATAAAGAAAATCTGTCGGTACAAAGATTTTTATACAAAATCCAATCTTAATAATCTTAATAAGAAAGGTTAAAACTCAAAATCTACTTTTGGTGCTAAGTAAGTCTAAACTCTTTGGCTAGTTATTACGCTCATCAAAGAAAATATATTTCCTTCGTCCCACAAAAATAGTGAACATTGAATTTTGAATTTTGAGTTTTGTAATATTTTTAATACAAATTTGAAAATTTAATGTGAATTATTTTTGTGGGACGGAGGTAGTATAATTTACTGGGTGATAAGTTATTATTGTGCGCAATAGATAACCTTCAATACTAAAAAGAAAAGAAAAGGCAAAACAAATTGACCAATGAATATAAGGAGGTCAAAAGGGGAATGGAGATGAGGTTAGTTGGAAAAGACTGTTTTTTTTTTTTTTTTTTACTTATCTTCTAAACAGTCTGTAAAGCTCAGTACAAAAACTGACTCAATTGGCCCTACTCCTTCCCCCAAATCACATGCCTTTCAGTTTCATTTTTCAATTTTCAACCAATCACATAACCAATTATAATACAATTTCGGGCCAGCATTTTCCATTCTTTTTTTTTTTACTTTGGATTTCTGCCAACATTATTTAAACCAATTTCTTCTTTTTGCCAAAAATAATAAAAACACATATACAAAAACACTCTAGTTTGACTTTGACTGCCATAGTTTCTCCTCATGGACCTGTGCAAATTCAGACCATTATTATTACGGTAAAGATTCCTGAAGGCCTGATTTGGCACCTTTTGCAAAAGTTTATTTACAAAGTTACAAAACAATTGTTAGTAAACAAACAATATATTTCTTGTCCAAACACGGTATGGTATCTTCAGGCTTTTTCATTCTCAACAATTTTGTGATGGAATGTTTCCCACTTTTTGAATCAACTTGTGGTATTTTATTTTATTTTATTTTTTTTCTTTCTACTTGTACTTTTTCCTTAAGGAAAAGAGCAGGCAACATTTTAATAAAAAGTCTCAAATACTCATCTCATAAATTACTTCAGTAGTTACTTATGTGTCACATCTTCTTAATAACAAATACTCCTTCCGTCCCATAATTATTGTCCAGTTTGAGATTTCACTTTTAGTACAAATTGAACTAAAAATGAAAATCTAAACTGGACAATAATTACAGGACGGAGGGAGTAGTACCTAAATAATCAATTCATCTCTTATTTCGGCAATCTTGGGTAGTTCCACAAAACAAAGACTATATCTATATAAGTTGGACATGAAATCATATAAATTCATCTTCATGGAAATAATACATGTAAGGCGAAATTTTATATTTCTTCCGATTTAGAAAAACAAATTATTTTATTGTAATATTTTTAATTCATCAAAGTATATTATTTTTTTTAAGATGGAGGAAGTATTCCTTTGATTATAATATGAATTTATTTCCATTCATTGGAAATTTTGACCGCACAAAACAAATATCTTAAACCTTTGATTAATTGGAATAGAGATCATCAGAATCCGTAATCAGATTACTACAAAATTTACATCAAAAGCTTCTTTAGGCTGAAGTTGTTATCGGCAGCTTTCATTCCTTATTTTCTGCGAAGCCCATCTGACACGCTTACGCACAAAACAAATGGTCAAACATTCCATAAGAAATATCCGATGTTGCAAAGCTTTTATTAGTATACGCATCACATTAATCCCACATCGGCAGCCGACTATGGCAATCACCAATATATAATGCTTGTGATTCGCCAAGTAATTAGGCATGGTATCAGAGTCATATTCTATCTTTAAAAGAGGTAGAACCTGGCTCTGATACCATGTTTTTGTAACTTAAAAGTATAATAGTTAATAAGTATTTTTTTTCAAAATAATTAGTCATCAGTTACTTTAATTTTAACTTAAAAATATAATAGATAATAAGTATATTTTTTTCAAAATAATTAGTCATCACTTACTTTAATTCTTACATTGTTTTTCTTTTTTGGGTTAAAACTAAGTTTGAGAAATAGATCGTTCCTTCATAGAGCTACTTGTTCAATTTTCTTAATATAATAATTAATTAGTTTAATAATTGAAAATAATTAGTACAATTATAAATAAGTTTTGTTTTTCAAAATAATTAGTCACCGCTTAGTTTAATTCTTACAATTTTTTTGGGTTAAAACTAAGTTTGACAAATAGATCATTCCTTTATAAAGCGACTTGTTCAATTTTCTTAATATAATAATTAAATAGTTTAATAATTGAAAATAATTAATCATCACTTACTTTAATTCTAACACTATTTTTTTATGGTCAAAACTTTGTTAGAGAAAAAGAGATATTTAGTTTATTATACTACTTGTCCAATTTCTTCATTTAAATAATCCAAAATCATAATGTAATTCTTAAAAATTGGGAAATAAGATTGAGTGTAATAGTGTTCACTCAAAATTATTTCATGATTTTTGTATCTAAGATGAAAGACCATAAAGAAACCAAATCAAACTTTTTCTAGGTGCGAAAAGCCGTAAACTACTATTAGTTGTCAATTATCTAGTAGTTGTAACAAACTTGTAACATTTGGATAGATAGTAGTTGCTTATGTGATAATAGGTGGTCAGTTATATAGCTTAAGAGTTCTATAAGTACTCTTCCTCACTCATGTAAAGTTGAACAAATTCTGATTCCATAATATGAAGGTGCAGTACCTTTGTACATCTATGTAAAGGGATAAATTTGCACTCGGAGCATCTAAAGTTTACAAAGTTTATAGACTCTTCATTAGAAAAAGTATTTGAGTCATGATGTTGTTTTTCATGAATAAGTTTTTCCCTTTACTACTCTTTCTTCCAATGGTGGTTGTGTTTAACTTTTCCATGTAATTCTTCTATTTTGTTGAGGTTTCAAAAGTCCAAATGATCCAATCCTTCCCACCAGCCCCCAACCCCTTAGAAAGTCCAATAGAACTGTATCCAAACCATCTTATTTAAATGAATATGCTTGTAACTCTAGTTTTGTTCCTACTTGCAAATATCCTCTTGTTTGCAATACTAATATTTCTGTTTTCAACAATGTAGCTCCTGGGAACCCAAATCCTACACATCTATTATTCAAGATATCAATTGAAAGGATGCCATGTCTAAAGAAATTCAAGCACTTGAAGAAAATCTTACTTAGTACATCAATTCCTTACCACCGGGAAAGAAAACAGTTGGTTGCAAGTGGATTTATAAGCTCAAATATTAGTCCGATGACATTCTTGAGCGCTACAAAGCATACCTTTATGCAAATATTTATGCCAAGGGACTTGATTATCAAGAAACTTTTACCCTGGTAGCAAAGATGAGTATTGTTCGCACCTTACTTGCTGTAACCACAACAAAAAATTGGAAGCTTGCTCCACTAGATGTCAGCAATGCCTTCCTTCATCGCACATTACGTGAGGAAGTTTACAGGAAACTACCATCTCGCTTCAATGCTCCTTTTAATGTTCCCAATGCTATTTGCAAACTTGACAAATCTCTTTACAGATTAAAGTAGGCATTACACCAATAATTTGCAAAATTCTCTTATTCTAATGTTGCAACTGGTTTTATTCAATCTCATTGTGATCATTCCCTCTTAACCAAGACTGAAGGTATTGATTTTACTGCAACTTTGGTGTATGTTGACGATGTTATCATTGCTAGCAGCAATCCCTTAATTGTTCACAAGCTGAAAGACATGCTTCATACGACCTTTAAGATCAAGGATCTCGGTAATCTTACCTATTTTCTTGGCTTAAAGGTCCACTCGAACTCTACAGGTGTCTTCTTGAATCAACAAAATATGTTTAGTGATGCTGGCTTAAGTGCATCTAAGCCATGTTCCATTCGTATA